ATACGCAGACCAGAAGGGTTCACAAGAAGAACGCAGTGGTCAGGGTACAAAAAAACGATGAAAAACAAGAAAATAGATATAGTAGCTTAATTAAATAATTAATTGATAAGACTATATATCACTATATACCCTCTTTATCGGTATATAAAATCGTTTTATTAATTCGTAGTAATAAATTCTAAATAATAATTTGCATTCCAATGTATTTATTCATTATTTTTTTATTTCCCTTACCAACTCTAATAAATAAAGCATCAATAAAAATTTAAAATCCATGTTTTATACATACACACATGCATGTATTTTCATTCATTGTAACAAATAATGAAATCCTACGTCACATTGTTACGTCACAGACTATTTAATATGTATGTAAGAAAATTTCCTTGTGAATTTTATTGTTAATAATAAGTAGAATTCATATAAAATTAATGCTTGTACAAATTTTGTTAATCGCATCATTTTTCACACGAAACGACAGCGACGATGATGACGATGACGACGCCGACGACGACGACAACAACCCTACACACTATGATGTGTGGGGTTTTTGTTGTTGTATGTGTGCTAATGCGGCCGCCTGCTACCGCATTATGCGTTCGTGTAGCAGCGATATGCATAAAATGAATTTTTTTATATTTTTTGTTGTTTATTATTTAAATTTTTGTTTACGGAAGCGCAACAGTTGCTCAATTTTTTTCTCCTTTTGTACTCGTTTATATTGCAAAGACCCATTTTCTTGCTGTTAAGTTGTAAAAAAGAAATTCTGCTGCCGCTTGCTTTTGCTTCTTCTGTTGTTTTGTTGTTTATTTTATATTTTTATTTTATATTGTCGGTGGAACTTTTTAATATTGTATTTTGGCGCAAAATTTTTTAAGCTATTATAGGTTTCTTTTTTGCTAAAGAGTGATTGTTTGTTTGTTTTGTATACATGTGTTGTGTTAGCATTTATTTTGTGGATTTAGTTAGATTTTCTTTTTTGTTCTTTTAAGTTGTGTTCTTTTTTTTTTTTTTGTTTTTCTGGTGTTTGTTGTGTTATTACAATTTAGTATATGACAGCGGTTTAAGGTTTTACCATTCCTTTTTTTTTATTTCGCTATTTTGTTGGAGTTCGTACATATATAAATATACTGCCATCATTTAAGTCATTTAGATTATTTTGCTGCTGCAAATTCTTATGAGCATGTTTTACTACGAGCATGTTTTAATGGTACTTCCTAACTAGCTGACCAAAAGTCATCTATCAGTTTGTTCACATATTTGCCAAAACAGAAAAGTGAATTTGTTTGACTCATTCATTCATCGATTTCGTCGTCGCTTACTAATATCAATGCGAAAAAAAGAATAAAAAAGTAATACAGCAGCACCAGCAACAGCAACAATACTATTAACAGAGCAGTAGCAGTAGCAGAACAGAACAGAGCAGAGCAGTTAAAGTATGATTTTATGAATGAATAGTGAGACTTAGGAATTACCTACGTTACATTACTACATACCAACATACACACATATTGAAGGTATTTACGTACATTTCCAAACAAATATTTATAAATATGTACGTGAATGCTATTGTGTGTTTTGTCGCTGTACTGCTGCTTGTTGTGTGGACGACGGCGCCAAAACGCATGTATTAAGTTTTGTCGTGTAGTAATGGGGTGATATACTTATTATTATAAGTGTTTTGTGTATTGTTATTGGTGTTGTTGATTTTGTTTTGTTTTGCTTTGCTTTGCTTCAGTTTGCGTTGTTCTGTAGAAAAAAAGCGCAGGCAGGCATTCTCATTTTGCTGCTCACTCCACTCATCGCTGCTTCCTCCATGCTAGCATATTTATAAAATTGTATTATGATGTTAATTTGCAAATAAATGCTTAGGGACATATACACATACGTGCATAATAGTTGTTATGTATGTATGTATGTAATATAGCTATATTATTGTTTGTTTTGTTTAGACAATTTTTGTCCTATTAAAATTAATATTATTGGCGTCATATTGTCTGCCTCTTGTAATTAAAGACTAAATAATTGTTTCAGCAACAGTTGGTGTTCTTTTTTTTAATTTTTATTTTGTTTTGATATGGTTATTCTATTTTTATTTTGTTTTATACTTTGTTTTATACTTTGTTTTCCTGAATTATTAACGTTGATTTTGTAATGTGGTTGTTTTTTATTAGTTTGTTATAGTATCAAATTATATATATTTTTTTTTATTATAATGCACCATAAAGTAAAAGCTTTCCACGTTCGATCTCTTGTCAATCATATTCTTTACTCGTAGGTCAAGTGTTTTGAACAGAGTAGTTAATGCTTTTTTTTTTGCGAAAATTGCCGAGTTCCTGCCAAAATGTTCATACAATCTTAAATAAATCTAATAAATTTACAGTCTAACTTAACGGTTGAATAGTCTAAACACTTATTTAGAGTAAGTTAAACTACATAGTTTCATATGCAACAATAATAGACTTAAAATGCTATCCGAAATTAGTTTTCTAAGTAAGATCTTAGCCATCTTGGTGTATGTCCACCAATAAGATCAATATCCAAAAGATGAATATCAGGAAATCTTGACAAATTCTTCTACCTACCCTGCAGTTGCCCGAAAGCTCTCTTTAGCCAAGGTACACATGTAAGTTGGACACTGATACACCTAGCTATCTCGTTAAGAAATGCTAGGTAATCTCGAATTTTTAAATATAAAGCTAAAGCGCTTACTAGAGATTTAATAATACATTGGCTATCCGAGAAGATTACAATATTTACATTGAAGATCTTGTTGCATAGAACTCATTTTGCTGCTTAGTGAATCGCGATTACTTCTGACTGAAAGACACTACAATATTTCAGTAGTTGAACTATAGTTGACTCTTACATCTATTTTGTAGCAAATTTATTTTATTTTACTTGAACTTGTGGTCATTAGAATTGTGTAACTTACATTCAATATCATCTTTTATAATCTTGAACAATTAAATGGTATTTATTTTATTTTGCTTCATATTTCATTAATGTGGTTAACATATCAAATCGTTATGGATATAACATATTTTTTCCCCCTTTTTTTCTAATAAATAACATGATGAAACTGTTATAATTTTTTTTTCCAATATTTTTAAATAATATTTACAATATTATGTAATTTAAATATTTAAATTGTTTAACATCTTTAATTAAAGAACAAAAGTAGATATAAAAATGTATAAATTTAATTTATTATAAATTGAAATTTAGTTTTACGTTCCTCTAGCGATTTTAATGCTACATATGTAAATAGAATATGTACATACATGTAATTATATATATAAGTATGCAATTATATATATAGAAATTGCAATAAAATTATGTAAATAATTCATTGGCATATAAATATTGTATATAGTTATATATATATAAGTTTTTTAAACTATATACATATGGCTCGTGTATCTATACGAATGTGTTTATGTCTACTCAAATGAATATATATCTTCTCCAGTGGATACTTAATTGCTTTGCTGTACACGTATGAGTGATTATTTTAGTTGAAATTTTATAAAACAAATTAATAAATATCAAAAGTTTATACAAATAGAAAGATAAAATGTTTATTAGTAAAAGTATGTCTCAGATAATATTCGCAATAGAAAATTTAGTTTATTGATAGCTTTTTGTAGTTGAAATGAAAGGATATAAAGCTTTAAATACAACTTTAAATAACTCCTGTCTGTTGTCCTGTTCTGTCCGTCTATATCTTAATTTATATGCGTATTCATGTGTTATCTATCAGAGTTCTTCATCGTTGGTCAGTGTCACTTGCATCACTTCATTTGTCTACTGAATTTTCCTTTTCTCCATTATTAAATTTATTGTTTTACGTATAAATGAATATACATAATCCTGAATCCTGCATTCATTCTTCGTGCTTGTGTCCTGCGCATATAAAATAATGTATTGTATGAACTATTTTTCTTTAATTAAATTTTCTGATATGTGCAGCATTTTCTGGCTCTATCAGTATTCAGTAAATGCATCTGTAATATGTACATGCATGTGGATAATGGAAATGTTTGGCATATAATAAATTGCATAAATTCATTCTTATTATCAATATTTTCAAAATTTTAAATGATTTCTATTAAAGTTATTTAACCCAAACTAAATTGTAATTTAAAGTTCTAAGAGAAAAAAGTTAAATTTAATAAAATATAATATTTTTAGTTTAAAATAAAAGCCCAAATTAATTATATAAATCTTCTAAAGATTCTAAATAAGATTCTAACAAAATTTTCTCTATAATTGTTATCTGAATAAAGGTTGGTCTAATTTAAAATAATATATCCTTAAGTGTATTATTTAATGAGATAATGAAATATATGTTGCGGCGTATGCACCTTAATAGGTAGCATAAGATAATTAAGGATGTTTCGTGTGTGAGAATTGAATCCACTCCCCTTCTCTCTCCTCTGATTACTGGAATGAAGTTTTCACAATGCTATGGAAATCTTCTCCATTCATTCCTAAGAGGTGGTATAGTGGGTTCAAGTCTCAAAAGGTGGCTTTCGATTAAGGATCAGGAACATCCAAATTCATATTTATACTTGAGAAGAAAACAACAGGCAAAGATTGAAATAAATTCGTTTATTTTTAAGAAAGTTATATACAAGCTATAATAAAGTACCTATAATTAACTTTTAAATATATCGAGTATATATATGTCACTAGTTTCTAACTGCAACAATTAAGACACTAAATCTAGTGATTCTTTTTATGACTTCTTAATCTTTGGTCAACATCCAAGTTAAGTAACTTCTAACTACCCTATTTGTAACTGTGATTTCGTTAATAGATACTAGTGGACTCACAGTATTTTTAACCACTTTTATTAATTAATTGTTGTTAGTATATAATATTTTATATAAAAAAAGAGCAATTGTAAAATTAAATATATAACTTTAAAAAACTATAATTTTTGAATTTAATTAATTAATATGCTAAAAACCTTTACTGATCTATATATTTCGTAGAAGCAGAGTACGATGATTCGTGGTGCAAAAGCCGATGCTAAGCCCAGGGGCCGCATGACAGCGTATGCCTATTTTGTACAAACATGCCGAGAAGAGCATAAGAAAAAGCATCCTGATGAGACCGTTATCTTTGCAGAGTTCTCAAGAAAGTGCGCTGAACGATGGAAGGTTAGTATTAATTTTGTTTTAATTATATTTTTATATATGTAATATATAATATACATATTACTATTAATATGGAATCTCATATAACTATTCTACCCTTTATTACGAGAAATGTGGAATTAAGACAGCTTTCTGAAGGAGAATTCGTTCCTTTTTCCACTATAACTATTCATATGTAGAGAAGACTTATATTACTGTCAAATATATAACTGCCTGCTGGTAAAGTCACTATTGGGAGTGGGGAACGATACTTGGTCGTCTTGTTAGATAGATTAGGTGATGGTCATATGACAGTGGAGAGGTTTGTTTAGGATTAAAAATGGATTAAAAATAGGTGGAATTTAAATTGAAGTCAACCAAGATAAAGGCGATGCTTATTGAGAATATTGTTACAGTGCAACCATAATCTCGAAAAAGATACGGTATCTGCGTGAAAATCTGTTAGTTCACGTTAATATTTGATCTCACGGATGTTAGCTTCATGGCAATAAGTGACGATATATCCATGTTCAGAAGAAAAGTATCCACGAATACAGTTTTTAGAAGGGGTTCTACTAAACATGATGCCATTGGGTGTCCAACTGTGTGGCACGCAAGAAAACATTGTTTGGAGAGTAGTTGGTTATGCTCTTTCACAAGAAGCATTGGTTATGCAAGATATGCATTTATATTATTGCATAATATGTGGGTTCCTGACTCCGCAACAAAAAATAGGTTTGCTCATGTTGAGTTTTGGCTATGCTCCCGGAATACCGGAATACTAAACAACAGACATTAGGGCATTACGTGCGAATTAATATAACCTATTCAAATAATAATAATATTTAAGTCATTTAAGCTCTTAAAGTAAAACTCATATTTTACTAATTTTGTAATATAATATATTATATAGTTCCTTCTTGAAGCGATTTATCAGTATCTATATAATATAGATTTATTAACTTCTGTTAAAATTTTGACCGTTGTTGTTGAAGGCGTGAGTGGCACTTTGTAGTCTAAGAGGACAAATTCCCCTAGAGAGTCGTAAATTCTATAGATCCATTAATTTAACAAATTAAGATCACACTTCATTAATAAATCCACATTACCATTATCTATATTGCAGTTATTTATGAGTAAAATATATTGTGTAAATTTGAAATAATTTTATTTAAGTTATGAATAATTTTTTTTTAATTAGTCCCCATTTATATTATTATCTTGTTTTAAAAATAAATAGATAAAAGGTGTTCACGTTATAAGAAAATTGCTCGAGTAGATGGAAAAAGGAACGCTTGAATTTTTATTAAATAATGAGTAAAATGCATTTTCTAACTGTGTATATAGAAGCACATCCCAAGCGTTCGCTGTTGCGGAAGTTCACTTTGGTCTTAGCATCACATTAGTAGGGAGTTGTATTTCAATGCAGACGTCAGATATGTCTGAGCAACCTTAACGCTAACGTATTCTAGGTGGGTAAAAGTGTTATGCCATGTAACGTTGTCCGTCGTCCGTCGTTGTCTCAATTTTAATGAAAACAAGAGAGCATGTCGTGTGCGGATTGAAAGCACTTATGACCGAAAGGCTTGGGTGGGCTGCTGCTGCTACTGCTGCATGTGTAAAGTGTCTCCTCGTTTGTTTTTAGTTAGGAGGTGCGAGAGAAGCACAAAGGGCAAGGAATAAATTATGCTGTGCACATATTGATTTTATAGAGCGCTGCTCTACGTTAGGTAATATAATTTTTCACACGGCTTGACTATTGACCAGTAAACTGGAAAACTGTGTGATGATAAATTATGAATTTGTTGAAGAAATATATCCGCATGTTAGTAAAAATTCATTTCTCTGATTATAATCATGTTTCATTTAACCAATTTATATTTTATAATAACTTGGCGTTCCAACATTTCGTGAATCGCTCGTGTGCAAAAGCAATTTACTAGGTGTGGTACTTTTTGTGGTATGGTCGGGTGTTTTATTTCATTTTTTTTCCAAGTTAGCAATATACAGAAAAGCAAAATATTGGTGGTGGCATGCACATTGCCTTTACTCTTATGTATTTGCTAACATACAAGGTTGGGGGTTGCTGGTGGCGATAACACCACCTAGTATGGTTTGGTTTGGGGTGGTTTTACTTCGTTTAAAAATCAATGGCAAAAACATGTTCAGCGTACGGGTATGTGTGGCTGGCCCCCTGTACCTTATTCATTCTCTCTGTTTCTGCTGTTTTAAAATAATTTTCAATCGTTGGGTAGCGAAACTAAGACTGATGATATTACTTCTTGCTTCGCCCCTGCCATTTTAATTTCGTATTTCTATTAGGTTCCGCATAAATTACACCAGTAGTGTTGTTTTCATTTGGTTCTATGTGCTGTAACGCAAGTACACACTCATCTTCCGTAAATTCTCTTTCCAAATTAAATAAGATGTGAATATGGAAGTCAGAAATTAGTTTGTGAGTAAAGTGTATTGGGTTTATGTTGATGTCGATGTAGGCAGTAGGATTAGGGGAGGGATTTATATAATATATTACACTTTTGGGTATTTAAAATTATTTAAATTTAAATTTATTAATTAAAAATTCTACTTTACGCAATAATTATTTCTTCCTTTGCATTAACAATATCTATATTTTATCAAGTATAGATATCAAAGATAGAATTACAAAATATTTTTTAAAATTTTTATTATATATAGTTACGCGTAATATTTCTCTATAAAAGTATATATGTAAACCTTGGTAAACTAACATGGATTCTTAAAATATTTTATATAATATTATTGAGATGTTGAAGTAGTGATAGAGGATTACAAAATGAAGAATATAAGTTGGTATGTGTAGTTGCAGAGAATTTTATAGTAAAATATGTATATAAGGGGGAGAACCAATATTCAGGCGAAATTTTAAATTAAAACATGATCATTAAATTTGGGTAGAAGAAAGATAAATACTTAATTCCTATTAATAAATTAACCAAACTAATTCATATATATATAGAATTATTATTAAATGGTTTTGACTTTTATCGTGATATTAATTTAACATTATTTTATCCCTGCCTTTACCAGCCACAGGCAAAAGTTGATTTATAACCATTTTCTTGCGATAGGCAAGTAGGGAGCGTGCTTATACTTCGTCACCAGTCAAGTCAAAAGCAACATGGACCCATTTACTCCAAATGTATAACTACCCATTTGGTACACAGTAGTAAATTAGTAGTGTTTAGGTTAATATCTGCATTAACACTAAACAGCATGAAGCCAGATTCGACCTGTCCTGTCGTATCTGCTGTAGCATATGTCTACAGCTCCAAGAAAAAACACCTGTTGTGTCTACTTTCAGTTTTGTCTGAAACCAGGCTTAAGCTACTGGGCGCCCCATTTTTTAATACACATGGCTATATTTCTAACAATAATATTAGTATTTCTCTCAATGTATCTGTTTGGTGCTAGTATACCCATTCTTCTACCCACTGTTACGAGAAATGTGGAATCAAAATGGCTTTCTGAGCTTATTAAGGAGAATTCATTCCTATCTTCTCTTCATCTACCTACCTTCTTCTGTTATATAGGTGAGGGAGTGTATATGTATAATTGATTAAAATAATTGAAATTTATGAAAATATTTTTCTATAAAACCAATTTCACAAAAACAAAAATAAATAGAAACATCTTGACCCTTAAAATAGATTTTTATAACTTGTTTTTTAAATGTACATCAGAATTTGTAATATCAATGGACATGCCCTTGAAATGTTATAAACAAATGTCTAAATTTATAGCACTGTTCGTATTTGTCATGTCAATATTGAATTCGATCTTTATTTAACCCTTACTGGATTCTTTTATTTTATTAATTCTGTTGATGTTATTGTTTTATATTGCTTGCTGTAATGTATGTATGCTTGCATTCACAATTATGAATGTAAGTAAATATCGAACTTTTTGATTTATCTCTTATTAATTTTAAAAAATTGTTTAACCTTTGTATAAACAATTATTTTCAATGCATTATTTTTTAATTGAATTAAATTTCTAATATTTTACCTAAACTAATCTATAAATTTTTTTGTTTTTAGACAATGGTTGATAAGGAAAAGAAACGTTTCCACGAGATGGCAGAAAAGGACAAACAAAGATATGAATTAGAAATGCAAAATTATGTACCACCTAAAGGCACCGTAGTTGGACGTGGCAAGAAGAGGAAACAAATTAAAGATCCTAATGCACCAAAACGTTCATTGTGAGTTCGTAGCAAACAATAAGTTTTTTTAATATAATTAAAAATCAATTTCATATTTAATAAAACAATTTTTTCTGGTTTCATTTTTAGGTCCGCATTCTTTTGGTTTTGTAATGATGAACGCAATAAAGTTAAAGCTTTAAATCCAGAATATGGTGTCGGTGATATTGCTAAAGAACTAGGACGCAAGTGGTCTGATGTTGATCCCGAAGTGAAACAGAAATATGAATTAATGGCAGAGAAGGACAAAGCCCGTTATGAAAGAGTAAGTATCATTTAATATCTATGACAATAGTTTTTAAATTAAATAAAAAAAAAACAAAATTAATAATTAAGTACACTAAGTTCCATTAGCACAATGGTTCAAAAGGGTGGTTGATTGAATGATTTCGTGGTCGTCTGGAATCATGGGATTCAAATTTCATTAGAAATTTCCTATATCAACACGCTCTTAGCAATGTTTATACTATTTAGATTTTGGCAAAATATTAGCACCATCTTTCAGTTTTTCATTCAAAATTAAAATCTTGCTAAGGTCTAGCGATAGTAGATTACCATGTTAGGCTGCGAATTCAGTCTTATAAATATTCTACAAATTGTGAAGATGAGAATGAGGAAGAAATCTCTTTTGTAACTGCTTAATTTAAGCCATGAGCAGATTGAATATATATTTTTAGATATGTTTTTAGTCAAATATAGCTAGCTCTCTCACGGATGTGTTCAGTGCTAAGATAAAGAACTATCTCCGCTTTGTAAAGCTTTCATAACTAGTTAACAGTTAATGTTCCGTGTTAAGTAGTGGTATTACATTTTATATACCTTAAGCTGTAAGTCAGTTGTCAATTGAACTGATCATTTGACATTCGTTTAATTTAACCTCGATATTTCCAAAATTAAGCTATAAAGAAAAGTTGAAAATCAGTTCAAAATAGCTTAAACTATTTAATAAATTTGTTGTTAAAACGGCATGACCATGAAATTCAAAATAGCGCCAGTTATACATTTATGTATATATTAATACCTCTGGGTTTTCTTTATACGGTAACGCAATGGTTCAAAAGGCCTAAGTTGGCGTAATTTAACCTAACCAAACTATCTATATTAATATGTTTATTTTTTTTATTTTAGGAAATGACCGAATATAAGACCAGCGGGAAAATTCCAATGTCTGCACCTTCCATGCAAGCTCAAGTGCAGAAGAATGCGTTACTGGCAGCTGCAGCGCAACAACAACAGCAACAGCAGCAGCAACAACAGCATCATGAAGAACATGATGATGATGATGGCGACGGGGACGATGATGAGAATCAGTAGATTTAAGTCCACATTTTCCAGAATTAATAGAGAGTGTGCGTGCGAGAGTGCATAATTTTTAATCATATATTGTGAAAAATACTTTATACAAAAATAATCAAATAAGTTACATATATATTTATGTAAACATAGTTATAAAATTTGCTAAAAGTTCAGTTATAACGACGACAGATGAAACAGGATAAAACTCAATAATTTTACATATGTAATTCATCATAAATCACACATGAAATTACACATGCACATATATGACACATATTTTCTTTATAATTTTGTAATATATTGTTTGAATTAGGATTTTTATTTTAATAATAGAGATAAATAACGCATAGTTATATCTATAAAAATGAAAATATTTTTTCGTATTATTTTTTTTTATCACTTTCCTCATAATAAAAAAATACAATAAAATAAATATATTTGTTTACTTTTAAAGAAAAAAAAAATTCAATATTAAATTACATTAAAAAAAGTTTTTACTTAGTTTTTGTTTAATGACAAAATCTTAAAGAAAAGACAATTTTCTAATGTTATAACATAGTGTTTTATATACTTTTGAGATTATTTGAATAGAAAAAATAAATCACTTCCAAAAAAAAAAAATGAATAAATAATTAAAAAAAAATCCCTCATACAATTAGTTTAAGTACAAGTTTTTAGATATTTTTTTATGTTCTTTAACAAATAATAATTATAGGTTATTTTCACTAAAAAACAAAAAGAAAAGACTTGTTTTAATTTAACTCATTTTCACAATTCAAATATTTTATGCGTTATAAAATAAATATTTTACACTGGTGATTAAAAATAAATCATTGTAAATAGTTACACTCAAAACCAATTAATGTACATAGACCATTAAAATAAATAATAAACAAAATTATTGCGAAATAAAGCAACAAAATCAAATAAATTATTAAAAATAAAATGTATTTGTACAATTGAAAATATGTATACATACTTCTTTGTTATATATTATTATATAACATATAAAATATTATATATATATACGTATGTATTGTTTTTCTTTATGTTGAAATGAATATGAAGATAATTAAATGAAAAATTTGTTGTCTTTTATGTGTAAGAATCAACATATTTGAATTTTTTTAAAATTGTATATATTTTAGCATTTAAAGAAAAAAATTTAAGAAAGAACAATTGAAATTTTTCTATAATTTTACTTTAAATTTAATATAACTGTATAAACAATTCTTTTTATAGAGGCTTAATTAAATTTATAATTAAGGAGAATATGTATAATTTGTTTGTTTAAATGAATTAAAAATTAAACTTAACATTACGTATCCTTCTTTATAAATATATTAAATCAACAAAAGCTTCATTTAACATTAGCATAAAATGTTGATTATATATATATTTATATATATATGTATGTTTATAAATTTCATTTGTTCTTTTGTTTTTATTAAGTTATACACTATTTTCACTTGTACATTTTGACATTTTAAAGCAAAAGGCATAATTTCATTCTTATATAAAAAATACAAACCAGTTCAGGCTCGACAGATTCCTATTAAAGTTAGCAGAAAGAAATATATTGAATAAAAATACAAATAATACAAATAATCATTCAAAAATTACTAGTAGGATTATAGATATATATTCATAAAGATACATACACTCATTAGTAGGGAAACTAAGAAGTAAAAACTTGTGTAAAAATATTATAAATGAAAAGTTAAAAGAATTTGTAAAAATTATTTAAAAAGAGTTCAAAAGTTTTAAGTGTGGTATTTAGAATTTCTGTCGTACATATAAAAATGTATAAAAAATTGTATTTTTACATATAATATATATGAGAACAACCAATTTATTTAATAATTTGGCCTTAAAGAAAGAAATGCATAAGCAATTTTTTAAAGCAGCTTTTTTTTGAGCTGTGCAAGTTCCGCTTAATTCAAGTAAATTTAACTGCAATATAAACACCAATAAAATAAAATAAAATAAAATCAAATAAAATAAAGTTGACATTTTTCATATTCATTGATCATCACTCATTGTCGTCACACGCCTCTCATTTGCCGCTATAATAATTTGCATTGGAACAATAATAATTTAATTATATTTCTTAATTTGTAATTCATTTTTTGATTTTTTTTTTGATTAAGTATCCAAAATAATGAATTAGTTGTGTAGTTTATTTTAAAAAATGAATAAAAACAAAAAAAATTGTTTGTTGATTTTTTATATATATTATGTAATAATAATTACTTTTTAATTTAATTAAAGTTAAATGAAATTATTAATATAACAACTTAATCCAATAGTTATAATAAAAATTCAAAAATAAAATTTCCCATTATAAGATATAAAGTTTAGGCTTATACAGTTAGTTTAATTATTATTAATATAAATATTAAAATTAATATACATATATATTAAATTTTAGTAATTAAACAAAATAATAAAAAAGAAGAAAAAAATGCTGACAAAATTAAACAAGAAACAAACGTACACTAACGTGCGATATTTTTAGTATTTAAAATAGAAAAAGAATGAAAATATTAAAACTTGTATGAAAGAAATGTAATATTGTCATCATTTATAATATATGATTTTAGAGTTAAAAGTAAACAAAAAAAATAATAAACAAAAAATAACTAAAAAGTATTAAAACATGAGTTTTCTTTTGTTAATATATTTATTTATTTTATTTTTTTTAGAACTATATACAGTACATAGTAGTGTTAGCCTTATTTATTATTTCATTTTTAAATTTGTTGTATTGCAAAGAAATTTATAAAATTGTATAATTATATATATATATAAAGCTTACAGGTAATAGAACTTTGCTATATTGCCAATTTTGCCATAGACTTCTTTAAACTGTACATACACATTTTATATAAATTATTGCTAAAAATATGATTCGTGCGAGCAGAAACATATACGAAATTCGACTATAGCGAGCCGTTCAAATATTGCTAAACGATATATTGTGGTCAATATATCGATATATTACCGGAGAGGTACCTCTCTTCAAACATTTGAAGTGTACGATATTGGTTTTCTCAAACTGCTTAAAAATTTTGAAGTATTCTTATTTTTTAGCTACTATAAGAAGCACAGCTACAATATACTTTATACTTATTTGACTATTACAGACGATACTCGTCCTCAGCCACGTCCAGTAGTCTCCGCTAAGCAGTCCGATCAGTGGCTTGCTGTCATCAGTTAGTAGCATCGATTTTTTTCGTACCATTGGTCAGCTGGTCCTTCTACCGAAGTTGCGTCTACCGTGTTTTCCACGAGCGGGTACTGAATCAAACACCATTCTAGTCAGAGCAATTCATTTCATTATTACCCAATCAAAAAAAATAAAGTTAAACCTTGATAAGGGAAACATAATCTCATTAATAGTAAGAATATAGCACAAATTTTCAGCGTCAAATACCATCTATACGACTCACGTGGCCAAAGCACATTGAGATAAAAGGTAAGCAAGTCAAACTCACAGCAATCCTTCTGTATTACCTCCTAGATACGCATTCAAAGCTTTCCCTTTACCTGAGCGACCTGTTGTGCAAGAATATTATTTAGCCTATATGACGATAGCCATACAAAGCTTGACCTAAAAGTCCTGCTGCACAAAAGTATTATTAACCCTAAAGGGACATAGATCATCAAAGCTTGACCTGAAAGTTCTGTTATACAAGAGTATTATTGAGCCTATTTGGACATACGGAAACCAGTTATGGGGAACCGCATATCTCTCTAACAGAAGAGAAAATGTAGAGAGCACTCAGCTATTCGAATATACTAAGAATGCTAATCTGTGCATCAGGGTACAACAAAGACATGTCTTTATCTATAAATATCTAAATATACTGCAGATAAAACAAAATTCAAAACCATTTGCAAAAATACGTTATACGTCCAGCTCATAACCCTAATGCTTTAGCACAGAAGTTTTTAGCGATGCAAGCTGTGAAGCGCTTTAAGGTTAAAAAAAAGTATAATACTTGACCTGATTCATACAACAAACAACTATTCTAATCTATAAACATCTTCTATTGTTTCACTGGAAAGGTGTCACAGCAATGGTTGGGAGCAGTTACGTCTTTCAATATCAATATGTCAACCAAAAAAAAACTTTATGTGCTTTTTTCCATTAAATTCATTTGAACATCGAATAAGTTTACTAGAATTAGTTTAGAATTTCGCCAATTATATCATTATCCTCTCTCTCGTATATACTCGTATTACAATCGGAAAAAACAAAATTTCCAGTAGTTCAAAATATTGTCTCTACTAGAGATATTCAATCTTTTCGCTTCTACACCTACTATAGAAAGACCTGTATGGAGGGGCATCTACGGAATTACACTACATAATAATAAACTTAGAAGAGTACATTATCTCTTATGTAGCATATTTCCCTTTGATATGTGACACAAATGAGCAAAGCCCATTTTACTCTGAGGTTAAGATAACTTTGTTGCTATAAGAAGAACCATATGCATTCATTGACGAATATTCTATAGATATATAATAGAATTTCTTTATAAACTCTATATTATAGAGTGATGCGTAGAGCATATTTCATAGAGCATAAGTTAGAATAAGCTAGCAAAAATGCTTCCAAAAACTTGCACCAAGAACCAAAAATATTATCGTTGAAATTTAAACATTACAAAGTAAATAGTTTAGAAAAAAATTACTACAGGGGCTCGTGTAGTACATTATATATACATATATTCATGAGAGATTAGGGTTACGATACGTTTAAAAATTTAATAACAATAGAGATAAGATGAACAGAACAAATTACTAGCAACAAAAGAAGTCCAATATCCGGACACTTAATATATTATTCGTCGTGCAACATTACAGTACATATCGAAATCTATACTTCTTAAGTGAACAATCCGTGGTATCACAACAGACCATTTTTTGTGCTTGAGTGTGTGAAATACAAGCCCATCACTCCAACTTAGTCTAACCTATTTTAAGTAGGATATTACCAAGTGACAATTCATAACAAAGAGGTAATTTACTAAGAGGTAATTTTTCTAAATAACTATTCAACTCATGCAATTATTTTATCTAAAATTAATTTGAATTCATCCTTTTTAAATCAAATTAATTTTAAAAATTATTATATGTAAGAAGAAAATATTATTTTAGTTAATAAGTATTTTAATGTTATGTTGGAACTTAAAGATAAATATTTCAATTATTAAATGTTTGATTTAATTTAATATAATTTCAAAAATCATAAATATTTTTTAGTTAATAAGTATTATAATATTATGTAGGAAGTTAATAATAAATATTTCAATTGTATAATATTTAATTCAATTTAACTTAACCTAATTTAATTAATTTAATTTCATTTAATATAATTTAATTTAATAACTTAACCTAATTTAATTTAATTATAGCTGTTCAAAGTGAAGAATGGCAGGCATAGTAAGGTGTCAGATTGCATTTGATGATTTTTTTTAAAGCATATTTTTTTATATCTTCGCAAATATTGATGTCTATTTAAAAAATTAAAACTAAATAAAAAATAATAATAATAATAATTTTCTTCTTTTTATGATCAGCTTTTAAAACGATATAATGTTTACATATATATATAAAAAATCATCCCGAACTTTTAAAAAAGTATTCTGTCACAAAAAATCATTTTCGCTTATAAATCTAATTAATTAATATATCAATTCATATTAGAGAAAAAGAATTTTAAACCAATAAACAATATAATTTAATACTATAGAAATGATTTTCTATATGTAATATAATTAATTATGTGGCAGCACTATTTTTTAGATTCTACAAGTGATAAAGGGAATGAGTACAAAATCCCGTTTTGAAAGCTAATTTATTTTGCTATTTTTAAGTTATCGGATGTTCCAACTAATACAGTGCGGATTAAATTCATTATCAGTGGAAACATGACTAAAGCATATTTATTGAAATTATATAAACTGAAATGACCACACCCACTGCCATCACGGGTTCCATTTGTTTAATGGACAAAAGTGAATTCGTAATTTCAAAGTTTTCGAAATCACAAGAAATCAATCTCATCGAGAAACGCAGATCAAAAAGATGGACGGAAGTTGATGGACTTAACGCTAACACAACCGATAGCTATACATTTTCCTACTATGATATACTCTCAACGGCTTCGTCGATTTTCATGCGCGCAATTGCAGTCTGTATAAGCATAAAATTGGCTTATAGTTATTATGAGCCACCCAGGCAACTTAATTACTTTATTTGGACAGCAATTTGCATTGTGATGCCAATGTTTATAACGACGCTTATACACGCAAATATGTAAGTTGAAAATAATTTAAATTAATTATAAATAATATATTTTCGTGATTTTGCGCAGGTGCTACCAGGACGGCAAATTTGGTAAGGGATTTGTAAAGTCTTTCAAGACACTTTGGCTTATTTTTCTATCGTCTTTTATGTTTCGGTAAATTATTTATCATTTAAATCATTTAGTTATGTATTTTATTTTATGCTTTTATTTTCAGTTATTGGAATGTGCTTGTTTACTCTATAAAATGCAAGCGTGCGCAGTTGAATGGCTGTAAAGATTTGCAGCTTAAGTATGTAAACAAAACAGATCTCAAAGCAGATCTCTTTTAAATATAACTCAAAGCACTTTTCTCTTAATAATAATATGTAGTATAAGATTTTGTTAAATATATTGTATTATTTTATTAGGTATTATAAAATGGCTATAAAAGAGGAAAGTGATGTCGCTTTTATAAGACTATTTGAGTGTTTTCTTGAAGCGGCACCGCAAAAAATTTTACAAATATCTATTGTCTTAAATTTTGTGGATGAAGAGATTACACGTATGTATTCTGTAAATTAATTTAGTTCTTTTTGTAATGTGTGAAATTTGTAGCTATGCAAATAATTGCTATCTGCTCATACTTTGGAAGCATGGCTTGGTGTTTGGCTGCTTACCATAGATACAATCGATATTCCCAAATCGATAAAAGTGATATTAGCACGCAAGGATTTATCTTACAGTTGGGCTGGCATTTTTGCACTTCGGGTTTGTTTAAACATAATATATTTATTTAAAACTGTAACACATGCTAATGCCTAAATAGTCAACGTCTCATATTAATACACTCATATTTTATATATATATATATAGTTAATTATTTATTTCTATTTTCAGTTTCAAGGACTTTATGTATTGCATTCGTCGCCAGTTTGTTTCCACTTTGGACAATTGTGGCATGTTTGAGTCATGCATTCCTATTTGGATTCGTTACCTTTATTGTTGAACGTCCAGTGTTTGCATCAACTTCTTGTTTAAATTTTCTGTTTTGCCTTATATTGGGCGTAGTTTATTTATTTACTTACATATCTGTGAAAGACGCTTCAACTAAATATAAGTACCTGATATATTATATAATATGCTTTACAGAGAATATTATATGTATTGCCTTATTCATGTCGTTTGCGTCAAGTAATTTATTCCAATGGACTTATCTTTTTTACTCATTATGTGCAATGGCTTTAGTATTTTATATATTTGGTTTAACATTTATGATTATATATTATACATGCTTTCATCCAAAAAAAACAGCTAGGAAATCAAAACTTGTTAATAATAATTAATATGTATTTCTTATTTTAAATACACAATTCCTTTTTGTATTTAAGCAAACAAAAATTCCAATACTCCATAGGAATATAAGATTTTTTGTATACAAATAACAACATTACCTATTTTTATATACAAATCCAATTCTTTATAACATTGTATTTATATAATTTATTAACTAAAACTAAAGCGAACAAATATTTAATAATATATAAAACTCTATATATATTGTATATATCGATCAAATTCATGTCTTACACATGAAAATTAAATTTACAAAATAACATATAGTATAAATATTGTATTGTATTGTGCTGTTCCGAAAGCGAAAATGTTCAACAACTCACAAATATTAAAATATAATTTATTTTCTTTTATTTTATCCTTGAATACATTCTAAAAGTATCTGTATTATTATTTAAATAAATTGTAAATTTCGAATTTACTTGAAATTATTACAAAGAAATTCCGAGAAGTTCACACAAATGTAATTAAAAAGAATACAATGAAGCTTAGGTGATGGATTTGTGACCTGAAGAAGATGTAAAACAAGAATTTCCTAATAATTTTTTTGAATGTGCTGCCTGTTGGTAAGGTGATAGAAGACAAGAGGTAGAATATACACATATATATTAGCATAGTTACCGTTTGTTATAGAAAGATAAAATATCAAATTTTCATTTCTGTAGATCCTCAAATAATAAGTATTTGAACTCAGCCTTTATGGCATTGTATTGAATAAATGTATATAAATTTGTTAAAGGAAGACAATAACAATTACCAGTGCTTTAAAATAAGTTATAGATTTTTCACAGTCTATTAATAAAAATTATAATTTATAAATTTTACAAATATGTTATATTAATATAATATCTCTTTATTCAAAAAACCCTCAATATCGTTGATAATTTATTTATTTTAAACATTAAGAAAGTCCCTGCTTTAAACTAGGTTTAGGTTAGATTCAGTTGTAGTGTTTGTCTTGTGTACGAATGCTCAATTAGCACAATTAATGTAATTGTGCTGTAATACGATGAATGGAATAATGTTCATGTGCCAGAACTGGCGCACCACCCCAAGTAAATACATCTTAAAAAATAAAGTGCCAACAAACTGCACTAAAAGCGTGAAATAAGAATAATTAAAAAAATGCTAGCTAACCGTACTAAAAAAAAAAACAAATATAGAAATAAGCAAAATGTCACTGTTTATATAGTTTTTGCTATATATATTTTTATTTATATTAATATTATTATTAAATAATAGGCTATGAATGCACCCCGACCTAAAAGATCTATTGTGCGCCTAAAGGCCCAACTAAATCAATTCTAGACTATATATAAATCCCGTAATTGCTGTGGGGTTAATATTTTTCTTTATATAGTCCTTTCCTACAACATTATAAGCTTCGTCAAAGATACCAGGTGGTTTAAAACCTTGAGTTTCTCCAAGGTAACACAATGGGCCAAAAGACTTAAGTGAATCTAGTGCCGGTACAACCTAATCTAGTCGTTTTTTATGTAAAGTTTCCAATATTTTTATTTTAAAAGTTAACAATAATAACCTTTAATTAAATATTAAATAAATAAGAAAAACATTTTGTACTTGCATTTTATGCCTGGTTGCAAAATAATTTCAAAACTTCACCCAATAATTATCACTAGAATATTTTTGGTTAAGTTAAATTTCAATTTTATTTAAATAAACGTATATAACTTTTTAAAATAATTTATTTATTTTTCAAATATATATATATCCATATATATATATTTAATTTTTTCTGAATCGCAAATAGGATATTGCTTAGTAAACTTCTAACAGTTCTTCCATTTTCAAATTTAACAATTCACAAAATATAGTTAATATGTATATTGCATTTTAAATTATTGCATATTAAGTTATTTCAATAGTTAAAATGTGAAAAATATAATGAATTTGGTTATCACTGATCTTTATTTATTGCTTCTATTTGTATAGGCGATTCGACTTGCTGCTGTTGCTGTTGTAGTTTAAGTTTCTTCTTGGCTTGTATATCAGCCAAGGTTTGCTCTATTGAACGCATGTCTTTTTTATTTTTGCTCGGCACAAAGCCGTAACTGTGATTGGTTTCTGTTTTTCTTGCCGCTTCTAATGCAGCCTCCTGACCTATTAAATGTGCATATTTATCTTTATAGTTGCTGCTGGGTTTCACTTCAATTTCATTTTTAGTTGTAGTTTTGATGGAAGCACGAACCATTTTCTTCTGTTCAATTTCTAATTCGCGTTGCTGTTTTCGACGCTCTGCATATTCCTTTGCTATGTCCTCATCCCAACCATCGCCATTTCGTCTGGCAGCGATTTCATCTTCTGTTGGTGCATTTTCTTTCTTATAAACTACTGAATGACGATCGATATCTTCCCGACCAAAACTCATTGCAATAAATCCACCATATTCAGCTACCTCGTGTATAATTGCGCGATGCACTTTATCCAAAGGTTGAAACTCAATATGTGGACGATCATCTTTGGCAAAGCGACCTATTCTTTCTTCTACGTATTTACGAAATCTTAATAATTCCTCCTTTTGCCTATTTTTAATACGCTCTGCGTACTCCTTCTGTTTTTTTATTAATTTCTTTTGTTGTTCACTGGCAGTTGGAGGCTTATCTTTGTCCATTGATGTGAGTATAGAGTTAAGCAAATCCATTTTTCTGGATATATTTGATATCACAGCACTTTATTTTGACTATTATTGTAACTTATATTTTCTACGTCTTTCTATTTGTTTATTTGTTATGTTATTTAATACAACACAATATTCTTTTCTTCGTCTGGCGACTTCTTGTTCTTAATGCTCAGCTGGCAGATGACAGCAAAAAGTGGAAAACGTTTCAATGTCAAAATGTGGATTCTAACGATTTTGGAATGCAATTTTTTTAAATATTTTTTGCTTTCTAACATCTCATTTTAATTATACTAATTAATGCTTTCATGAAGCCTTAATCATATCAACGTTAATTAGTATAAATAAATAATTTCCATAATGAATTAAAAAAAATGTTACAAAGACCATTTTTATGTATATTTTTTCTTATTAATATCGTAATATGTATACCCTTCGCACACAACTGTGAAACGGGTATTTAAGTTAGGCAAAATGTTTGTGTTAGTTACGTAGTCAGATGTTGGATAGCATATAAATCTGTGGAATAGCATGAAAACCATATCGATTTCTCAATATCAGTACATTTATTAAAATGCAAACTATTTTCTTAATGTGCTACTCGAATGAAATTGAGCGGTGGAAGTTTTTATAAATTGTGAAAAATAATTGATTATATCATGAAACGGCCGTGAAGATGCATTTGTATAGAACAAATAAGAAAAAACAAAACCATTTTTTCTTATTTTTAATAATAACATTAAACAAGTAATGCAAGGAACCGATCATTAAGAAAACCCTGGACCTTCTCCTTTCCGGCACTCTCGTAAACTTTAATAAAATTCTTTTGTAATGCTATTTTTGAGGTGCTGAAGTTCGTGCTTTCTTGGAGGAAATATTTATTAAGTTACGCAAATAACACAATATGCCAATGTGAGTCCCCTAGGGATCGCCTATATAACCTAACTTAACCTAACTATTTAAAATAATAATCTGGTATCGTTATGTAACTCTCCGGTAGGTGTATGCTTCATTATTAAAAAAATATTACAAAATGTTTTCTTGCAATGATAAAAAAGATCCTTCCATAATACATAACACAAGAATTTATATGCTCATATATTTACCAACCATTTGAGAATTATAATTCAGATGGTTTTATATATTATTCAATAAGATATATAAAACGAAAGGTTTCAACCAAGCGTATTTAAAAGGTGACTTTTTATTTATTATATATATTTTATATATACATTCCCTTTAGATTTCCGGATCTTTATATTTTTTCAGTAACTAGTAGTTATCTATTTCTGATATATAAGTTGTTGTCAGATATTGTGTTTTGCCAGAGTATTTGTAACTGCCACGTGTTCAATAGTAGGTCAATAGTGGCTCGCAAGTATGACAAAAAACAGTAAGTTGCTAGCCTATACTGCAAAACAACAAAACTATTTTCACTATCTAGGCCAGTAGTTGTTAACTGGCCAAACACTTCGGCCATTAAATAAAAAAGTCCTGCCAACGCAATATAGCAAACTATTGTGAACCTTCATTGGAAATTCCAGTGAATGTTGCAATCATTGTCAAAAATCATATGTTTAAAATATTCAAACAAAATTCAATAAAGCAAAATATTAAAAAATATATAAAAATCTTGAAAAACAATGGAGAAATCGTAAGTACAAATCACATTGAATTTTTTAAAATGTTAGTTATTAACAAGTAACATTTATCTTATTTTATTTTTTTATAAAAAATGCAGTTTGCTTGATTCATGTGCAGATATGCAAGATTTGCTTTGTGAAAACAAAACATTTGACAGATTGCAACAGTGATGCCAATATCTCGCTTAGCAAATATAGGCTAGCATGCGTTTTCTGCTACACTTGCGAGCTACCGAAAACGGTGCCGTTGATAAATTACGCTGACTGTGACAATAACCTGTTCGTACAGGTTAAGATCCATTATGATAACAGGTTATCATAATGGATCTTATTTATTTAGACCTAGAGTGAATCATGAAGTCCTATACTTTCAATATATTAGAATATTTTTAGTATATTTTGCAGTTTTAGGTTACGTGTATTATCAAATATTTCTCAGTATATCTTCTTAGCACATACTTCATGTTCTGCTGCTGCCTCTGATAAACATCCGATGGTAGACTATTCCCAGTTTTTGGATAAAATTTCTGCAGCAATCTTTTTTATATAATATATACAATTATTGATAGGACGCGTGTTTATACGACTGTCAACACTTCCACTGGAAGACATGTATTGCCCATTGTAATTGCCTTATAAACGAACAGAAAAATAAATAAATTATTATTATTTTAAAATAACAATAATAATAATAGATTTATTTAATAATATTATTTTATATTTTTGTTATATAATTTACAATTTAACATTTATATATAAAAATTCGAACATTTTTATTCGAAAATGTCGACTTCATAAGCATGTCGACTTAAAATCATCATTCATGTTTGATATAGTAATTTGGTGTTCATTTTGTTCATTTGTTGCATTTACGCATTTGTAAACAAAAGCATTTGGGTGCATTTAGAAGCAAAGTAGTAGCATTTTTATTTGTTTTTGTATTGTTGGCGGTATTTTTCTTTTAATTTAAATGCAAAAAAATATGACAACGGATCGCGAAAAGAGTAAACGAACTTTAAAACTAATAGAATTAGTTAAAAAAAATCCTGAATTATATAAAGTCGGTAAAAATTACAAAAAAAATAGCAAAATATGGAAAGCAATAGCAGCAGAATTGAAAGAAGATGGTAAAACAAACTCTGCAGCAAAGTAAAAGCAGTATTTTTCTTAACTAATTAATAATAGTAATAGTTTGAAGTTATTTTATTACGTTAGTGTGTATATAATCGATCAGATTTTTAATGAAATGATTTATATTTATTCTCTTAATTTTGTTCTGAATTTCTAATATTTAATGCTTCATAATAAAATATAAATATATTTTATTTTCATTAATATACATTTCAAAAGGAATTTTTATGCTACGAAATAATTCTTAAATTTTTTTAATTACTTTCAGTTTATGAATGTAAGAGAAAATGGGAAGCATTACGAGTCTCGTACACAAAAGAATTAAGGTTACAGAAGGGTTTGGAGCGTCGTGGCAAAATGAAAGCGGTTCGAACGGGTTGGTATTTAACGAAGGAAATGTCATTTCTTGAAAATTGTATAACACGTCAAAAAACTAAAAGTGATTGGAGTTCCTCATTAGAAGAATATACAGGTGGTGATACAACAAATTCAGATACTTTTGACAAAATAAAAGAAAAAACTCGTATATCTGATATAACGAGACCAGTACGAAGCGAAAGTATTCCGTGTACGGAAAATACAACAAAGTCAGATACTTCTGTCAAAATAAAAAAAAAAACTCGTATATCTGATATAACGAGACCAGTACGAAGCGAAAGTATTCCGTGTACGGAGAATACAACAAATTCAGATACTTTTGACAAAATAAAAGAAAAAACTCGTATATCTGATATAACGAGACCAGTACGAAGCGAAAGTATTCCGTGTACGGAAAATATATCAACTGCAGACAACACTCCTACCATAGAAAATACTCCTCCCCTTTTAGTATATATCAATGAGAACAGATATAATAAGAAAGAAATTGAAGAAGCTGAAATGGCGTTCTTTAAAGGACTACTACCTCAAATACAGCAATTGTCGAGAGAAAGAAAGCGTCGCTTTGAAAGAGATCTTCTACTGAAGCTACATGAATTGTTAGCTGAAGAAGAACAAGAACTCTTAAACAACTTTTTATAAATAAATAAAATATATTTTTTTATATGTATTATTAAGAATTAAAACAATGTATTTGCTATAAAATTTATATAATAAAGTATATATATATTTATTTTAAGTGGATCTATAAATTCTTTTTCAAATATGGCAGTTCCTTTGCTTTTTCTATAAATCGTCTCGGACGCAAGTACTCTAAAATTTGTAAAATAATATATAGCAATGAGATCGCAAGTAGAAATGGCCACACGCCACTTTTTAAATATGCAAAAAGCATTTCTCCAAGCGTTTTTTGATCCTCAGCTAAAACTCGGTTGTAAACATTCTCCGTACGTTGCGTGACATTCTCCCAATTATAAAGTTTAGAAACAATTTCGTTGCATTTAAAAGGACATAAAATTGCTTCCTTAATGCCAAGACTATTATTCATATTTACTTTGCTATTCACGTCATTATGTTTTATAGTAAACTTTGATTTATAACGTTTTGGCTTAGCGATATGACCATTATTTAAACTCCTATTGCAATTATTTGAAGCCGATATATTTTTTGTAGAAAATTCCTTATATCTAGTGATTGCTGTTATAATACCATCGTAAATTGAGTCAACTTCAGGCTCAGTCAATATAATCAAGCTAGAGGGTAAAACTTCTGGTATTCCACCTACACGTGTTGACACCACTTGCAATCCACATGCTGCAGCTTCCACAATTGCCATACAGTATGCTTCAGTCAACGATGTATTAACAAATATTTGCCCTCTTACAAGTATATCTCGTACTTTTGAATGTTCCACTGCACCAATTATTTCTATTCTATCTTGCATATTTTCCTTTTCGCGAACTTCTTCCAAGAGATCACGCTTGGGGCCATCACCAACAATTATAAAGTTTATGTTTGGTATGCGTTTTAATTTGGGCATGACACCAGCAAGCAAATCTATTCCCTTACGATAAACTAATCTAGACGCCACAATAACATTTACTGCAAGAAAAACCCAAATTTAATAGAATAATGAAGAAGATTTTTTGAAAAAAATACTTGTGCCATCCTTTGGTCTTTGGTGTGGATCCGGTGTAAATAGTACAGTATCAACGGCATTGGGTATAACGGATACCTTTTCCTTAGGTACGCGCGCTCTTAATACTGTGTTTTCTTTGCCTAAAAATGTAATTTACTTAATTAATTATAAAAGTTTAAAAATAATTAATTAATATGAATACCAATGTGGGAAACACAAATGCAATGATTCACATTACAAAGATCTAATTCTAATATTTTGTTAGTAAAAACGGCAGACAAATCAGCAAAACCAAAAAGACTGTGATCTGTAAAAACATTCTATAAAAAGTGTGTTAAAGAGTAAGTGCGATGAAATTTGCTAAGCCATTACCTTCATTCCCAACAGCTTTCCTATTGTCATAGTCTCATGTGCCAGTGTACTGAATGCAGAGTGTCCATGCACAATTTCGATGCGCTCGCGCAACAATATTGAACGGATAAGAGGAGCATTGCAAATTAGCGTTGGAAGCACGCATTGATTGTAGAACACTTTGATGGGTACGTAATAAACCTTAAGACCATTGCTTAAATATCTTATACCATTACAATCACCATATGAGTGTGTCAATACTATTACCTATGGGTAAATATAATTTAATTTTATAAATCTATGTTATCAGTTTTTTGCTAATTACTTTATGTCCATGTTCAAGCAGTATTTGAGATAAGTTAAAAATGTGCTCCTCCACACCACCGATGCTAGGATAAAAGAAATCCGATGCCATACTAGATGGAAAAATTTATTATTATTTATTATACAAAAATAACCAATTTTTATTTACCATATTCGCATTTTACATATCCACAATTATTTACTTTTTGTTTTGAATATTTGCGTTCTCACTTTCATTTCATATCTAGACTAACCATTTTTTTGAAAGATTTTGTAAACTATTCAAGCAGCCCATACACAAACAACAGTGCTATAAGTTATAAGCGAGCATTTGTCAGTGACAGAAATGTTTACGAAAAATATTCCAATATTATGAAATACATAAATTATAGTTTAATCGATATAGTGTAATTCATCAGAATATATGTTATAAATAAATCATAAAAAACAAATGATTTACATCAAAGATATTTACTTGCTTAATGTCTACACTTGTAATTACTGAAACTCATTAGCACATTTTCGTATGGATTTTGTATATAAAATGATACGTTTGTAGCATTAACTGTAATAGTGCATATATTGTTATGTGATATTTTAATTACATTCGTTCAAACATAATAAAAGCAAAGCAACTATGTTTTTTAACCCATATCCGCCCAAGGATATTTTTTTGGAATTCTTGATCAAAATGTTTTAATTAGTAAGGAAGTGGGTGGTGTGGAGTGAAGTCACAAATGTTTTTGTAAAGCTAAAGCTTCATACATTCAAAGTAATGATATAATATATAAATAAATATAAACCCTAAAGTTTTTCTAAAATAAACAAAAAATCCAAGAAAAGTGATAAAATTTGCTGTTCGATTAATCGAACGTTGGGCGGATATGGGTTAATATTATAATTATATATAAAAAAAGTTACATTGTTGCACTATCACAACTCGTTATGTTCAATTTGTCTGAATTACTTTAAGAGTAGTTGTGAGCTCACTTTTTTAAATGTTTTTAAAAAAGCTTATATGAATAAAATAAAAATTTGTAAATAAGTTTTTATTTTATATAGTCCTCTATATACCTATATCCTCCATCGACATTTGGAAGTTTTCTTGATTTCTTCCTCAGGACGAAATGTTATCACAACTGTTTTGAAAACATATAACATATATGCTCTTGTCTAGATTATATTAGTTTGCTTGATACATTCGTAAAGCATGTTATTCTTTTTCTTTGTTTGCCAAAATAAAAATTCGATATCGTGTATAGGTGTTTACATCATGTTACGCTGGCAATCATATAATCATTAATAATTATTAATTAATCATTCTTTTCAATTTTTTTAATCTACATTCAAATCAACAACAAATATGTTGTTCGACAATAGTTTGAATGCATCCTAACATAACCCTCATTTTAATTATGCAATCATTGTTACTGATCTCTGGTAATTGCGAAGTGTAAACATGCGACTTCTTTATGTAACTTTCTCATTTAGTTTTCTCGAACGATTTTTTCACTTTTAACAATTAGTTACTCGCAATGTTTATCAAAAGTGAGAAAAATCGTTTGAGAAAACTAAGTGAGAAAGCTACATAAACAAGCCGATGATATTGATTGCTTATCTGTTTTTGTATGATTCATACAAAACTATTTTGAAAAATTTTAATACGTCAATAAAACATAATTTAACACTTAAAAACTGGTTTCAACAAAACATTTGTGATGGCAACACTACAAATATCCGCGATTTGTCATCGCAGTTGTAACAACATCTGTCATTACTTTGTTGCTACAAAAATAATGCATAATGCAGCATCCAAAAGCAAAAATGGATGAAATAAAGACGAAATTCATGGATTTGTTGCACAAACAAGTATGTATAGTACATGCCCAATCATATACTTTATAATGAAAACATTTTGTAACCATTCAGACAAATCGTCAAATGAAAATCCCTGCCATGGGTTTCTCCGAATATTTCATACAAAGTGTCACTGCAGAAACTGCTGGAGCGTTGGCAATCACCAAATCCGATCAAGTGGATGCAGCGAGTGAAACATTAGATAAAAGTACACAACAATCCTCTGATCAAGAAATTTTAGAGAGTATCGATAAAATATATTATGATGTGGACTGTGACATACAAATGTATGAACTGCAAGTAACTATGAACAAAGAAAAAAACCAATAAGATTTGTTTTATTATTATTCTGTTTTCTTCTATTAGAAAGTATTGGAAAATGGAGTGGATTTTCAGTTAATTGACAATACAATGGCACAACTGCGTATCCAACATAAGGTGCTCTCTAAGCAAGTGTTGCAAAATATTTTGGAACAACGTAGTGCCTGTAACACAGAATTTTGTGCAATAAATGAGACGCAAAAAGAGTTGGAAGAGTCGCTTTGGACTTGTAGAAAGGCACGTTCGTACTTAAAATATGCTAAAACGAATTTAACTGAAACCAGTTTGGAAATTTTGGCCTCATACAGGAAGCGTGAAATATTAAAAGACCTTTTAAACACACTGAATGAAATTAAAAAATTGGTAAGAAGTAAAACATTTTGTTCCCACTATAAACAAAATTAATTAACTAATAATTATAATGCCTAGAAATCTACTGATGTGGAGGTACAAAAATTATTGAATGAATTTAATTATTCTGGTGCGATCTCTCTATTGTTAACATGTAAAGATTCAGCCGAAGGTTATATGGAATATAATTGCGTGCAATCTTTAAATAAAAAACTCCAAGAGACATTACTACTGACTGAATTTCAGTTGGATACAGTTCTAAACGAGGTTAGGAAGATTATATAAAATTAGTAAATGCAATAAAATTACCTTATATCTTTACTTTTAGATGATTCTAAATTTTGATGCTCGTAAGTATGCAAAATTGCAAGAAGCCTATAAGTTACTTGGAAAATCTCTTATTGCCATGGATCAGGTTTGTAAATATGTACTATACACAATGCTTTAACTAATTAATTAATTTTACTAACAGCTCCACATAAATTTTATATCTGCCATCCACTCTTCAGTGAATTCCGTATTGCGCGCTTACAATGATCCCAATATGGATGAGAATGTTAAATACCTTTACGAACAATATTGTGAACAAGTAGCTGTTGATAAATTTATACCCTGTTTAATAAGTTTATGCAAGACATTTTGGACAATATTGGCTTCATACTTCCAAATTGTGATATGGCATCAAAATTATAAATTATATTCTCTAGATTTAGAGGATTCACCTGATCTCTATATACAACAAAAGTTAAAAAAGGGTCAATCACGCATTTGGAACGATATAATAACAAAAATTTATATATTTTTGCAAAGCTCAAAATTAAAAATGCTTAAATATGATCAGTTCATACAAGTTTTGTCGATTATTCAACGTTTAAAAAAGGTTGGAATCGAGTTTTGTGGTGAGCAATCAGATAAATTGATTGAAACTATGCATATGCAAAGCGAAGAGTTTTTTCAACGTTACCATTCGTCTTGTCTCGAGGAAATTTGTTTGTTTTTGGATAATGAGTCTTGGACTGTTGTGGATTCATTTGCGAATATTTTGCAGTTACCAGTGAGTTATAGTTTATAGCTTGTGTTTGTATGCAATTATTAATTTATGTTATGTTTCTTTAGGAATTTCGTGCTGTTCGTCATACATTACGTCGCCATAAAACCCCTCCAGTTGTTCTACTTACATCTACATCAGTTAATAACTCACCAATTAGCAATAACAACTGCGATGAGCTTGTATCAGTGCACTCACAGGATGGTAATAGTTCTATATACGGTTCCTATGGATATTTCTTAAGATTTTCTGAAAAGAGCTCGCCATTTGATGGCGGTTTGGATGTTGCTATGCTGGAAGAGGATATACTATCAGGAATTGTAGACGAAGCTTCTTGTTATTTTTCAGAAGAAAGTGATGATGAACCGAAGAGTATGCAAAGCAAATGCGATGAAGATGGAAGCAATAAGTATTTTTTCTGCATTGCATATAATATGCATTTAATTTTGAAGTTATTTTAATTTCTTTATAGCCAATTAATTGTGAATAATACCACTCTTAATGTATTTCGATGTATCGGACGTTATTTACAAATGTGTAAGCTTTTGCATTGCATATCGCCAAAAATAGTGTCCAGCATGCTGGAATTACTGGATTTTTATGGTTTCGCTGTACATGAAATATTTGGAAAAGACGCTGTGAGTGTTAAATCAATTTTGTCAGCAATTTTAAATATACTTTGTATGCAGATTCAAGATAATTATTTAAGAAATACGATTCTCCTTTCTACTTGTTTTAATAATTAATTTTATTTTACTATAATTTTTTACTCTACTACTAGGCTGTGCAAATGGACAAATTTTATGCATCCCGTCTAGAACAAAAACTGCAAGCAACGCAACAAAATGTTGTGTCAACGGTTAAATGCTGGCCTTTAAATTTTTCGTCTTTGGTAAGTGATGTTTACATTTAAATAAGAATAATTATTTATTTCATTTATTTTATTCTATAGATCAATAATGAATTAGCAAATCCAGATACACTCTATGGACTATCGCAACGCGTAGTCGCTATTGAGAGTGGACATTGTATGACACGACAATTTCAAACTTTAAAAAATTATCTAAATCACTTATTGCCTCCAAACGAACGTCAAATGTTAGATAACTATTTCAGCTACATTGACTTTATGTCTGACATAGCTCGGCCTGTTTTTACATGCGTTACTTCTAGAATTATTGATTTGCCTGCTATACTAAATCTAATATCGAAAGTGAAGTGGGATGTGAATCACGTCAGTTTTCAGCACAATAGCTATATAGACATTATGAATAGAGTAAGTTCTTAACAGGAAGTCTTAATAAATATCTATCATAGCTTTATTTAAAGAGTTAATAATATATTTTCCTTTGTAAAAAAGTGTGATAACTTTTTAAAATTATATTAAATTACAGAATATACAACATTTTGCTATGCGTTTGGAAGAAATAGCAAAAGAAGTGACCTTACCAACAGAACCATTATGGAATTCTGTGGCGCACGTAGCAACACACTTACTAGTCGAAGGGTAAATATAATTGTTTTCAATTATTTATATGAAATATATATGAAATTTCTTTATATTTAATTATTTTATTAGATTTTCTAATGTAAAAAAATGTTCCGCTGGTGGTCGTGCACTTATGCAGTTGGATTTTACGAATTTTATGTCGTTACTCGAATTGATATCAACTCTAAAATTTCCTGAACATCGTTCCTATGTTGATGGTTTTATAAAGGCATATTACTTCTCAAATGAGCAGTTTGAGGAATGGATTGAAACGCAAAAGAATCTCGAACAATATTCCGCAAAACAACTTACAAATTTAATACAGTGTGTTTGCGTTAGTGATAAACGAACCAGACAGAAACTACTGAGTCTCTTGGGTAATGCCAACAACTTAAATACAAGTACAACAAGCACATAGTTGCTCTTGCAACGGAAACATGCAACCAAATGTTGCAGCACAAATATTTTTATTATGTATTATTTTTGGTTTTTATTGTATATTTTTTTTTGTATTTTTATATTTATATTCATCAAATTATTTATATTATTAATTGTATATATTATTGTTATTGTATATTATTCTTTATTATTATTATTTTTGTTCATAATTGTAACGAATCATTCCATTTTTATGTACCTTATGAGAAGTTCTCAAATTTCTTAATCATTTCTATTTAACTGAATTTACATTTTTTTACTTAATAAGATCTCCTAAACTATCTTCTACTTTGTATACTTAATACTCTCTATATTCTCGAAAATTATATATGAAACTTGAATTTTCACTCGAATTTTATGCTATTTTATGTTTAACAAACTTTTATTGTTATTACTTAAACAATTTTTAATTTTATGCAAGCAAGTACGGACAAATAATTGTAGACTTTATAATAAAGTAACTAAAAGTAATAGTAATACATATTTTATTTAAGTAATGAATGTTTGCAAATGTATAAATGTAGTGAATCAAATGTATTTTAATAAATATTTAAATTTTAAATAATTTATTTAAATCTAAGAGCAATTAAAATATTAGGTATAGATTTAAGTACTATGTAGATTCGTAAATGTGTCGCTATCTTACACGTTGCCTACTACTAAACTATTTTTACGTCTCAATTTGTCTATACATGACTAACAGCTATCATATTTACCTAATAGTATGCTTCCACTGGTTTCGTCAGACCAGTTAACTTAGTTCAGATCGCTTGAATTACTTGAATCTCAAGTAAGTTAACTGGTGTAATAAAGTCAGTGAAAACGTACTATAACCTTTAACTATATTTTTTTTAACATCTTAACTTCTACTTGCCTATTATAGTTTCAACTAAATCAGCACGTCTCTTATTGCCGAAACTAGTCTCACCGATTCGTACGTTTGGTGCTTTGCCACTGCTCGCCCAATTGAAATTATTTGCTTCCTTTTTCTTCTTCACATAACCATCTTCATTGTCAATGCATAAATTGTGTAGCGAACAAATAGTTTCCACTATTCTACGTACCTCAACCAAATCCTTAGCTTCAAGCGCATAGAGTACATTAAAGCGTTTGGCAATATTATCTAGCACGCGAGTGCCCATATTCAAAGCTGGTTCTAGCAGACTATTAAAAGCCGCTTGCTTTGAGGTGCACCCTTGTTCAAAAGGACGTAATAAATAGTGCTTAAGTGGAAAATATTTATTACCAATTAAGAAACTATTTTCAGGTATTGTTTTTCTACTTAATGCCAGTCCAATGGGTGTTTCATCGAAATTATATTTCTGTGCAAACTCAACGAAACAATCTATGATTTCATTTTTGGCATTGGAGATTATTTGTAATATAATTGGCATTTCTTCATTTTCGGTTTCTAGAAAAATGTCTAAACGTTTTAGTGTTATAATACCGAAAATACATTTTGGAAATTGTGACAACTCTGGACGCATTTTAAAATCATTCATGGTAGTTTGTTGTGCATGTTGTGTCTTTGGCCATTTAATGAAAGTTTCATAATTATATGCTATTATATTCCAAAATTGTCGAATAACTTCAATGCAGGTATTCAAGGGAATTTCAAATTTACGCGAAATTTCTTCAAAATGCTCATCGGTTGTTAATTTCCACATGGCCAGCGAGAATACTGTCTGTGAAGGGATCGTTCTCTTCGAGAATTTTTTTGCTAATAGAACGCGCACCATTTGGAAAATACTCTAAAATTATAAAATTAATTATATTAGATTGTGGTTAAGTGAAGATTATACTTACAATGAAAGTATTTTTTGACATGTGAAGTTGATTTTCGAAGTCATTCGATTCGAAATCATTTAATAAATTTAATTCCTTGATTTCAATATTTTTATCTAACGTTTGCCTTGAAAATTTTGGTTTTGAAGTAGAAAAATCATGCATTTTGCGTTTCTTTTGATTTGTCTGACATTTGTTTGTTGGATTTTGTGTGTGATTCTTATTATTAAATATTGTTTGCTGCAGATAAAACTCCTCGTCCTCGTCCAACTTCGTGCCTGAGGGATTTTTTCCGTGAAAATTTGTTTGCATAAATTTTTGCTGTACGCCGGAATAGTTTTTATCATCAAATAGAATATCTTTTGTAATTATTGCTGCTATATTCGCAAGCACTACGTTTTCATCCATTTTTAATTACAATATTTTTTTTCCAAAATATTAAAATAACTGCAGCTAATATGCATTAAAAATGTAAACAAAAATATGTATGCCTTTAGCGACCGACGTTGCCAGTCTGCGTTTTTTATTTAACTGTCATGTTTAATATATAAATACAACCATGTGCTGTCAGCTGTTTGTTTTTTGTTGTGCGATTTGTTTTCAAGCCGCACGTGCGATTATTTTCTTCTATCCACTGGTTTTATTTGTTGTATTCATATCAATTTTAATCCAAAATGGACTCATTTGATTTATTTAAACAATTAACAAGAGGCACAAAATTCACAAAAAGAAAACCTGCTACTGAAAAAGTAAGTTTATTGAAATCAAAGCAATGTTTAAACTAAAATTATTCCTTAATTTTGTAACGCAAGGAAATAAAGGCGCGGGATGAACCTAAAGTTTTGAAAGAAACTCAAGACGATGAAAAATATGCTAAACAACAAATAAAGCTTGAAGCTGAGGAATCCGATGAAGAAACTACATTTCAATTGCTCGAGGGTTCTCAACTTGAGCCGGCGAAAAAGAAAAAAAAGTCAGCACTTAGCGAAGCAGAACAAGCAAAAAGATTGCAGGAAGAAATGGTAATATTTGTTAAATTCTGCATATATATATGTATATAATTAAAGTAAATTATTAAATTATTTTAGTTAGCAACATTACGCAAAGACAAACGTATCACAGTGCTTGGTAAAAATATACCTCCACCAATTATAAGTTTTGAAGAATTGCACACGAACTATAATATCTCTCAACGCCTGTTAGCCAACTTGTGTGCTTATAATTATCCTCAGCCAACGCCTATACAAATGCAGTCAATACCAATTATGTTACAAGGACGTCCACTTATGGCTTGTGCTCCCACTGGTTCGGGTAAAACAATAGCTTTTCTAACTCCCATCATTCATGACTTACGTGCACCGCAAAAAGTTGGGTTTCGTGCAATTGTGCTAGCACCGACACGTGAATTGGCTAAGCAAATTTACAGGGAATGCGTGCGTCTTGCAGAGAAGACTGCTCTTAGAGTACATATTATCAGCAAAGTAAATCAGGCCGAACAAAAGTTTAGCGCAATTGGTAATAAGAAATGTGATATACTCATATCAACACCAAATCGTATAAGATATTTGCTACAACAAGAGCCACCGCTCATCGATCTGAAAAGGTAGCCAAACATTTTTGCTTTAAAAAATTATAATTATTCTAAAATCATTTTTATATAGTATCGAATGGATAGTAATTGACGAAGCAGATCGTTTAATGGAGGAAGGGCAGAATAATTTTAAGGATCAAGTGGATGATATTATTGAAGCTTGCACAAATTCTAAAAAGAAATTAGCTTTATTTAGTGCAACGTACACAGTGCCAGTAGCTAAGTGGGCTTTAAAGAATTTGAAAAATTTAGCACGCGTTACAGTGGGTCTGCAAAATTCTGCTACAGAAACTGTAGAACAGGAATTACTTTTTGTTGGTTCTGAAAGTGGTAAACTGTTGGCGGTACGTGATTTGGTACGCGCTGGTTTAAAGCCACCAGTTTTAGTGTTTGTACAGAGTAAGGTAATGCTTTTTCGTAAATTATAGTATATTCATATATTAAAATGATTTGTGTCATTTAAGGATCGAGCTAAGCAACTATTTCAAGAACTGCTCTACGATGGCATCAATGTAGATGTCATACATGCTGATCGTACACAGCAGCAGCGTGATAATTGTGTACGTGCCTTCCGTGAAGGTGGGATTTGGGTACTAATATGTACAGAGTTAATGGGTCGAGGTATAGATTTCAAAGGTGTCAATCTTGTTATAAACTATGACTTTCCACCTTCAATTATATCTTACATACATCGCATTGGCAGAACAGGTAGAGCTGGACGCACTGGTAAAGCAATCACATTCTTTACACAAAATGACACACCAAATTTAAGAAGGTAAAGTATATGTTAATTAATATATAAAAAAATATTAATTTATTTATTTTTTTAGCATTGCTCATATTATAAAAAACTCAGGCGGCAAAGTTCCCGAATTTATGCTGACTATGAAGAAGTTAAGGAAAAGCGAAAAGAAGAGACTGGCCAATGCTGCACCGAAACGTGATGAGATCTCTACACAAATTAAGCACCAGACCGAGCGTCATAATAAACTACAAAAAGTCGAGAAGGTTTTAGAGAAGAAAAGTAAAACATTGAAAAATGTTAAAAGCAAAGTGAATTCAGCCAAAACTGAGAAGAAATTAGAAAAAGTTAAAAAATTAAAAACCATAAATAAATCGTTAAAACAAGTCACAAAGGTGACGAAAAACAAAAAGAAAAAACTTACAACTTAGTACATTTAATTTTAAAATTTTTGTCATTTAGTTTATTTATAATAATTCTTACAATATAAATAACATCTATAAATAAATATCTTATGTAAATTTAATTTTTTTTATAAAAATTTGACTATATAAACTAATGCATACATACATACATTTAATGTTTTGTTACACATACACAAAAATTGTAAGCAACATTTTAAGGCACATTTAATTGCACATAATTGTCATTTTGAAAAACATTTACTTATAATATTGTATAAACGATATGCAGATAATGATTTTCTATGAAAAATTTTAGGCACATAAATTTCATAATTTTAAGAGTATAAAATCCCTCTGTCCATATGTAAAATAATGTTAAAATACGTTTTGTAGGTAGGTTAGATTTACGATTCACATAACCAGTCACAGGGTAACTTAGGCATTTTACTAGCTGGCCATGGCAGATAACCGGCAGTTTTAAATACCCAATAATCATATGATACTTTAGTAATTAATGCAATAAGCAGTAATGCTTCAGCTGCTATTAAGTAATATATATAGTCGGTCCAATCATGTGGCGATTGGCACATTTTTTCCTCTTGTAATTCCATTACACGATGTGCCATGTTACGACAAAGTATATCATTGTAATCTGGTATATCACGACTGCGTTCCAAAAGCCAAAGCTAAAAACATATAAAGTATATATATTATTACACATAAATATATAATAATCAAGTCAAAGACAATATATAACAATATATATTATTCTATATAAAGATATAATAATTGAGTTAAAGATATATATAAGAATATATATAATATTATACATAAATATATAATAATTGATAAACAATAATCCAGTCAAGGCGTAGAGAGGGATTATGAAGAAGTCCCGCAGTTAATAGAGAGTAAAAGTGCTCAGGTGCATTGACTCAACTAGCCTCAACATAATAATATAGATATATATAAGAATATATATATTATTATGCATAAAGATATAATAATTGAGTTAAAGATACATGAAAGACGATTTATTATAAATGTGAGCCGTAATTGAATCTATAACATTTTCCCATATAGTTTAAATTTTATATCAAAATAAAAATTAAAATTGTATATCTTAAACGTAAAATCAAATTGTAGATTCTGTAAAGAGAATGAGGAGTCGGGCATACATGTCCTGTTAGAATGCCCTGCGCTAATGCACATACGGAATAGGCTTTTGGGCCTATTATACTGTATACTCTTACGGAAGAGGCAATAAAACTCTGTAAAGTAGGTTCTAACATATACTACTTTTTATTGACGCAACAGGACTTAGAGGCCTACTCTAAACCCAGAAGGACAATAATAATTATAATCGTAAATTATCTATTCAAAAACGCTACCTCAGTTGGAAGATTGATTGAACAGGAATGATCGTTTTAATTTGATAAAGGAGCTTGATTTGCGCATAGCTTTACCTTGTCCTATTGAATTGCATTTGAATTTTCGTGAGCTCGAACATAAGCTGTTCGTGGCACTGCTTCCATTAATGAATTATTGTATTCTAACCAATCCATAATTACCGAAGAATAATTTTCACTTCAGCTAATTCCAGAAAAGTCTTGATCTCTTCCAGATCGAAGTTTGCCGACTCTGATTCGAGGATCAATATTTTATGAAAACTTTTTTCCTATATTGTAAAAGACTCGAGCATACTTTAAGAGTACATACATGTTTCTGTGTTTTCCATAGCCTGTATTCATTGGTTGTCGAAAGACCTAACCACACTTTATGCTTATTTAGAAACCAATAACCGGTTATGACTCGAATCATCGCTTTCAAATCTCAACTGTTCAGATTTAGGAGATATTTGTTTTTCTTCTCTGAATAGTTTCCTAAGAGGAGTTTTGTAGAGCGAGAAATTTCCCAATTGGACATAACCCTGATCTAAGAACATTATATTTTTTTCTCTTTTCATGAAGATGGTAAGTGCAGCTATGGTGAAAACTGAGATTAAGCTATTACATTTTAATAAGATTGTTTGTAAGGCTCCAACATTGGAGGCAAAGAAATTTTAAGAAAAACTGGTTAAAGAATAGTTTGAATACAATCAAGAGTCATTAAAGTTCTTATACGGGCTCATCTCTGACCTTACGTCGTTGGGCCTTTGTATCTTGCCCTTTCTTCAATTTGTGAAGGTTTTCTTTCACTTCAGCTGTATCCAGAAAAATATTAATCTTTTTTAAGTCCATCGATATTTAACCGTTCTTCCTAGATGAAACTCTTTGTGAGAAATTCTTCTCCTCTATTGTATAAGAGCTGGGAGTTTATCAAGAATATATAGGGACGTTTCTGTGCCTTGTATATATAGTCTGTCGGCTTCTGATAGTTTTAAACGTTATGCCTTTTCAAAAGACAGTAACCAATTGTCACTCCAATCAATGTTTTAAAGACTGATCTATTAAGATCTAGTATAAGGGATCGTTACGCTAATATGTTATAATGTGTAATAACAAGTTATTCCCTATTACACAATATACAATCCATTAAGCATACCTTGAGGACTTTTGCTGAGTTGCAATCACATTCTAATTTATTTCCACCTAAATTTATTTTACGTCCGAGCCCAGTATCAATGAGTACATTTGTAAGTAAATATTCTGGCAACTGCAAATAAAAACATAAAATTATTTTATTATTTAATAAAATTAGTTAAAATATTACCTTTTTTAAGGCATTGTTACGTAGTGACAAACGTTGAAAATGATTTAAGAATTCTGTTCCTTCCAAGTCATTCATAGATGATATCTGATTGTTATCAGCATATAACATCACAATATTCTGATAGGAAGGTATTCTGCCAAGAGATTCAATGCTACTTATCTAATAAATCAAAAAATTTTAATAGCTTATAGAAAAATATGCATCATTAAAATATAATTACATTATTATTGGATATGTCTAGAGAGAAAGTGTTTTCTGGTAATTTTGCTGGCAGCTCTGTAAGTCCAAGGCTGGAGCAATCTACTCGACAAAATAGTTTAGCTGATGGCTTCGATTGATCACCCTGAAATTAATAAGTGAGTATATATATATAATAATAAGAATACTTATGTTAATGGGTTTCATCCATTTACGTATTGTTTATATCGATATTTTGTGTAATCGTAAAATCATACTTAACATCATTTACTGAAGTAATTAAACCAGATATTAAAAATATTCTTAACTTTTTTTTAAGAAGAATTAAGAATCTATTTACTTTTTTATTGATATATCTTACCATATATATATACCATATATAGTATATACGGATATCAAACCCGTAACTAGAAATTTATTTCAAGAGGGTCTTACAAACTAAACACAAAGAAAGAAATTTTATAAACACTGGTCAGCTTAAATGAAGAGGCCCGGAACATCTGGCGAACAGCGTCCCTTTTAGAAGACACTACTTTCTCCTCCGTTAAAGTCATCAAACTGACGAGTCTATAAACTTGGCTTTATTGTTAATTTTAATGTATGACAAGTCTGTCAGATTAGCTTGAAAGGAGGTCCCAAAGATTTTGAATGTTTTCCTAGCCAGTGATGGGCACTAATATATAAGATAAAGTACAACTTTCTCATCGTTCACAGAGCTACAATACTGACAAAACTTTGTAAAGGATGCGGAAAGTCTTATTTCATTTGTTGTTCTTGTTGTGGTAAGACGAGGGGATCTACTTGTCAAATCCCTTTGAGAGGTAGTGAACTACAGTTGACCGTTGCAAATTTTGTTCTATTTTGTTCAAGTAAGAATCTTCAGATACCTTAAGTTTCCATATTAACACATATTAATTTATAACTTTTTTTATCTGCGTTTATATGAATATGAATTAAATATATTTTTAAAATGTATAAATTATAGTTCAAAAACACTGTAAAGTGTTCAGGCCTCCCTTTGTTTTAATATTTCTCTCTTTGAATATGACCTCTCTATGATGTAGCCGTCGGAACCGGCAAAATAATTATATGACTGTGTATATATACTTACTGATGCGAGCATTTTATCTATAGTGCACGTGCAATTACCACGTCCTGGTATTACGGGACACTCTGTTTTCAATCTCTTCAATGTTTGTAATTGTTGTATGGAAACATAATCCGTACCATTAAACCAGTTGAATGTGTAATTTTGGACACAGTATGAGGTTTCGGGATTAACGAATTTGAATGAATCATGAAAAATGGCATCCTTCAAGGTTTTACAAAGCATATGTTTATTACCACTGAAAATAAATAAAAAAGAACTATTGTCAAAACTATTCTTCCAGTGGTTATTTTAGACTCAACACCCACCTGACATTAACGGTTATGTTTCTACTTTGATTCCATTTGGGTATACGAGATAAATTGTTATTGGCTATATCCAAATATGTTAAGTTGGACACAAGACCTAGGGCACGATCTTCTATATCCAACAAATGATTATTTGATATATTCAGACATCTTATTTTGGATGCGCGAGAAAATGAATTAGTAGCACGCGTTATGTTGCCATCGGTAATGGCAAGCGATATAAGTGTTTGATAAATAGAATTTCCAAGATTCAGCTCAGGCAGTGATATATTCCGTATATGTAGCTTTGTCCAGGTTGATATGTGAGTGCAACTGGTTATATTGACCATGTGTGTGACATTGCAGCAGTAGGAAAAGTTTTCAATGGTTGGATGAGCAGCACATTGGCAAGATGATTCCGTTTGGTTGTCATGTTGTGGCTTAATCAGGCATAAGCTTTCTTCAGCATAATAGCAATTCTTTAGCGAATCTGGAGTTTCATTTTCGTTTATGGATGGGTTTTTAGAACTAGTATTAACGTTTTCATATTGTTGTTGATTTGTTGCTGTTAATGAATTCTCTTCGGAACGTGTTATCGTAACGCCCAGCAAGCAGATAGTAATACCAAATATAAATACCGAGGAAAACTATAGATAACAAATGATTTTTATTGTATGCATACTTTGCGAGCAAATAATTCTAATCTCATCCTAAGAGCTTTGCTATTCAATGCAAACAATAAATATGTTTACTTAACTAATTTGTCGATATACATAAATACGTAATTGGAAATGCTCTACTCGTGTTTCCGAATGAGTAAAGATATTATTTATTAACCAAGGAGTGGCTAGGAAATTAATAGCACTAATTGAATATTTCCTTAACATGGAGCTCCTGTGTGTGCGCTAATCAAAGAATATGCAAAACGTTTAACAATCGACTTTACTGCGATAGGACAATCAGGCATGTTTCTTTAAATATGGGTTGAAACAATTTTCAATCGAGGAAGAAGGTAGGTATGGGCTATATTAAAGAATATTGAATTTGTTGAAATTGAAAACTATGTTGCTTACATCCATAAATAATAACATTAAATTTTCAAAGAAATGCTTATTAACCTGACTGAATGAATGTTTTGCCGAAATGAATAAATCTGGGATAACTTTTTTTAATCGAGATCTAGTAAATCTCGAGCGAAATGTATAACACTTGAGAATAATTTATAACACTTTAGATTAGCCAGAGGTGCAAGATTACTCTGAAATAAACATCTGTCTTATATGACTTGACAGGTAAAGTGTGATTTGATTTAACATATTAAATCACACTTTAACGTATTTATGAACAATATGAATCCCCACTACTAACACAACTACAAAAATGTTAAATTATTCCATAAAGTTCGATTGGGTAACAAAAATTGACAGATCCAGATTAAATCTAGATTGAAACCAGATTTACCAATCGAAAACGCCATTTGTCTTTAATGAGTTTATTCCAAATATTTTCAAATATTACAAATAAGTTAATTTACCAGTAATACAATTTTATTTATATTTCTTAAGTTACATTTTCTATATATAGGTTATACCAGCGACTCTAACGATCCACTTAGGTCTATTAGCCCATTAGTTTCTTTTATATAAATAGAATCGGGTTTCTGTTCTTACACATAAATATAATCGGATCACATACAGAAATTTTTGTGTCTATATTAATACCAGATTTTTATTAAGCTAAGAAATTTGTTACCTCATTTTCATAACATGGGATAGCTATATAATTTTCACCTCAACACTCTCTGCTTTGGTGTCTGTTAAAACTCTCACAAAAAAATATATATCATAGGTCAACATCTCACTATTTTATTTGGAAACATTATGTTCTGTCACAGAAGACAAATATATTTTATTGAAATTGTAATGAAATTCAAATCGTCCTGTAAATCCTCTAGGAAACTAACCAAGTACTTACCCATTGGCATTTTTAATTAAAACATGTTTAAAAGAAACACCTCACTGTTGATATTAATTTTCTTAAGAAATTTTTAAATACTCTATTAAAAATCCCATAAATAACCCATATGCAGTCTGTGATAGCAAACCAGAGAGTGTAATCAAATCCGCATTGAGATCCTTTTTGTTAAGTAGATTAGCTTACCTAATTGAATTAGAATTTTGTTTCAATACAAGGTTAGGTTAGTTAGACTAGCTGTAAGCTCAGTCTGATCTACAATAGTTATGTGGGAAATTGTAGTAATTTAACATTGATTTCCTTACAAAATTGTCTATCACTCTTTTGAAAATCCCTATAAGTACTTGCCTTGTTACAACAAAAAAAAACTGATGATAGTTGTAAGTTCCATTATAGAAAATGTTTTCACGATAATATAGTAAAGCACTATCATATAAAATTATTAAGTTATTTCAGGATGACGAACACATTAGGATATGCTGGAGAACTACTCATATATGTGTTGCGAAAACGTTTCGAATTTTAACTTAATTTTTCTTGAGGTGCCAACAAGCCTGTGGTTTTCAGTCTATATTATGAGCTTTGTAATTATGTTCTATAAATTAGAGAACGAAGGATTTAAATATTAGTACCTCTCGTTAAAAGGTCTGAGACACTTCAATGACTGTAAAATAGACTAAGCTTAAAAACTTCAAAATGAGCTTAGTGATAACTTAAAAAAAGTAATTTTCTTCTGGAAGAAGGGAACCCACTGCTAGAGAACCCCTGTTGTGGTTTGACAGACTAAGAAACGTGCATTATTTATGTTCTATATTATTGTCCCTGATTAGTTAGATACTAAAGAGCTCGGTTAACATGTTTTGAGATTTATATTATATGTTTAAGGTTTTAGGTTTAATTGTACTGCACTAAAGTAAAAGCTTTAAAAATTTCTTGACTATCTGAAGAAACTGCATAGAGCTTTATTGGGTTGATACCAAAAGCTTATTATTGTTGTACTAGTCCATTGGAAGATGGAAATAAAGTATTTCATTGAAATATGGAAAAGAGTAGCCAATTGGGTCATAAAAGGATCATAGAGATCTATTCCATTTAATAAAGGTTTTTTATTTAACAACACTTAAACTAAAAGATTTAAGAATTTCTTGACTATCCGAAGAAACTGCATAGAGCTTTATTGGGTTGATACCAAATACTTATTATTGTTGTAGTAATCCATTGAAACATGGAAATAAAGTACTCCATTGGAACATGGAAATAAAGTATTCCATTGGAACATGGAAATAAAGTAGTCAATTGGAACATGGAAATAAAGTATTCCATTCGAACATGGAAAGAAAGTATTCCATTAGAACATGGAAATAAACTAGTCTATTGGGACATAAAAGGATAAAGTGAATTTCAGAAAAGAAGAACAGTGATGCAACAATAGATGCAACAACGATTTCAGACATTTTTATTGTTGAATGTAGTTTGTTGATGGTCACTCGTCTTTCTTAATTGAATAGATTATAAGAAGACTTGCACAAAAAAGTAGCAGAAAGCAGTAGGGGAGAATGGTGGAATAAGAGAAAGGATATCTATCCCTTAAGTTATTTTGCTTTAGAGATTAGAAGAAGATTTGCACAAAAAAGTAAAAGAAGTTGGTAGGACAGTATGGTATGATGAGGGAAGTGATATCTATCCCTTTAGTTATTTTGCTTTAGAGATAAGCGTCGTCCCGTTTTCTTAAGATTTTTGGTTTGATAGTGCTGGAATCAAGTGTTTCTTAGCTTGGTTAACTATTCAAATAGAAGCACTTTTTATAGGTTATAGACTTTGAGTAAGATTTTTCAATTAATTCTAAACTTAAGTAGATCATACATAGCCTTAAAATTTTTCTTAAAATAATGGTTATCTAGAAATAACAATTTACTAAGAGCATAAATATGTTTACAAACTGTTAAAGAACAATCACTTTATCTATTTAAATATCACTTGAAAATTCAGTTTATTAAATAAACAAAGTTATCAGTGTGAACTTCCATTACTTTTTCTTTCTTTTGAAATCCCTACCGGGTTCTAAAAATAGCGCTTAAGGTCAAATATTGTGTGTAATATGTGTGTAAGTATATCAACTATGAGTAAAAACTTATACAATTTTAATACAATTTTTAATTATAAGGTATGCATAGTAGTATGCATATTTATACCACAGCTTATTGAGTAAATATTTAAATAATTATTTGTGAATTAATTGCAAATTAAAGACGTTATTTGTGGAGCTTTTGTGCGTCTTTATTGGGACCATAAAATAATTTACACAATTTCGTAGCGCCGCGCATTGTTAAAAATGTTAACGACTTAATGACGATTTGATGCTAATGAAATTATTTAATTTTAAGAATTAAAAATAAATTTTTAAGTAAACAAATTACTTAAAAATGTTAATTTCTTGTAAAATACCTAAAAGCCAAGCGATTACTAGGGATAATAAAAACAGAAATATAAGAAGATTAACCTTTTGCGTAGGTGAAAATTTATTTAACTTTAAACTTCAGATTTTTTCATAATGAATAATTAAATAAATTCTACCTTTTTATTTAAATATATATATACATATTTTTTTTTATTTTATCTGCAACAATGCGCGCTGCTGCAAGTTTCGAACCACGTTCGCGATCAAATCAATTATAAAAGTAAGTAGAAAAATATTCTAAAAATAAATGCGTTTATCATCAACATATGAAAGCAAGTTCCTATCAGAAAATAATTGAGTCTATAAACCAGAATGAGTTTTTTGTAATTAATTCCTTTTTTATTATAATTTATGCCGATTAACAAGCTTTTTTTTTATTGTTATGCCTTTTATATTTAACATTTGCGGTACTTACACTTTTATTTAAGCACATCTTTAAAGTTTTTTCACAACTAAGTTTATTTATTGTGTTTTTACATTAACAAAAACACTGCTTTTCATTTTAACAATTTTTTCTTTAACATTTTACTATGTTCAGTCCGCCATAAATTCTACTTTTTAACCATTAACTTTTGCAAGCAAATTTTACTTTTACGAGCGAGAACACCAGTTGCTTAAGTGCTTTTTGTTTTGGTTCTGATTTATTCTTATGTTGTTTTTATTCATACAAGTCAGTCGTTTTCACTTCCTTTTGATTTGCTTATTCTCATTATTCTCATGCAACTGATAAAAGTCTGTTGAGCAAAAAAAAAAAAATGAGAAAAAGGTATAAATACACCATCAATGAAAACAGTGTTGATAAAGTACATAAGAGCTGTACTACCGTATTTAAATTTATATACTCATTTATTGTAGTAACACGTTCAAGCATGTATCATAATAAATGGCATTTAAGTGCAAACATAGGAATTTGTTAGCGATAAAAGTTTATTTTTTGTTTGTATTTATTTTCCATAGCAAGTATACATCTGTCTAAATTATTGAAGACATTAATTATATATTAAAATTCAATTAAGATAACGAAAAGTTTATGGAGTTATGTAGTAGATATAAATAAAAACTATAAAATTTATTTATATTAATAATAAAATTAATTTAATTAAGATCAATTTAAAAGGGGCGTGAGTTAATATTGGAATTTTTCATGTGCAGTGATTGTTGAATAATATTTTCTATTTCTAGTTTTGATTTTTACGTTGATTGTTGGGATTTGGAGGTCATTGTGTATGATTAACTTGCTTAAGTACTATTCTGCGTTTATAATTTATCTAAAGATTTTAGACTGTTGGTAAGGCTATATTAAAACAAGTGTTATATGAATGTTATTCTAAGTGGACAACTAAAACAAAAAAATATATCCTTTTTTATCATGGTATAATGTGTTCTATTATACACTAATATCATGTTTACACTGCTTACTTAGTATGTGAAACATACTAAGTAGATTTCATTAACGACGCAAAGAGCTTTTATGTTTTTTAATTTACTTAAAAATAAAGCAAGGTAAATTAGTCCAAAAATGTTGAATGCAACCCAGAAAAATAAATTTCCACAAGGGAAATTACTAAAATTTGAAATATTTGTCATATGTATTTTATGTTAAATGTAAACAAATAACTAAACTGTAAACAAACGTACTGAGAAAGTAAATACATATTTAAAAAACTGTAAAAGAGCGAACGAAGTTTTGCAGGTACGATTATCTGCGAATGTTCGTTCGTTCGCAAGTGTTCGCTTTAGTGTAGATGCACCTTAATAGGCAGAAACACTGACATTTATTACTAAGCAAGACTGATGTGATCAATGAGGGCACAAAGCTTTGTCACCGCAACCAAATTTTAATAGAAATTGCCTCATTTTAAATATTTTAATATACATTCAAAATAATTATTTTACACTTGATTTGTTCATAACTCTTCGTATAACATAGGCCTAAAAAAACCAAGTAATTTCTGAATATCCCTCAACTTTATTTTATATCTATTTAAAACACAATGTTGTATTTGAATTTTTTTTGAATAAAAATATTTGTTATAATACAAGTTTTAGGTTGACTATATTATCATCAGTTGTGTGTTGATAAGTACATTTTTTCTAATCGCGTCTAATTCACTACTTCGTAAAACGTTTTACAGCACTCACAAGAACGTAAAAGCAATAACAGAGAAATGCAGTTAAACATAACTGAAGTTGGTGCCATAGAGTAAGGTAAGGATTGCAGCGTCGGCAGAAAATTATTAGAAGTTTCCAGAATAGCTGTTACATTAAATATTTAAAAGCACAATCAAAAGAAAATAAAACCAAACGCACAAAATGCCAATACAAGGTGATGAATTATTACGCGCAGTTGCCATAGTTGCAGACAGAGAAGATGTTCGTTTCACTGTTAAGGAGGTTGGAAAGGGAGCCGTTGTTTGCGCTGCAACAACTTTCATAGCTGGGCTACTAATGGGACCGGTTGGAATGGCTATAGGTGGAGCTGCAGGTGGCATTGCTGCTTATTCCATGAGTGGTAACATTCAATATATATTAAAGATTACAAAAAAACTGTTTGCTAATCTATATAAACTTTCTTTGGTAGGTAACTTCAAGTCTTTAAGTGATATAATACGTAACGATTTAACGGACGCACAAAAAAGAGAACTAGTGGATCGCATCCAGACAGCTGCTAGAGGAGTAAATGCCGCTGACATTGCTATGTTAGCACCGCTAATCTTAAATAATTCTTCAATGCAAACGTTAGTTCTTGAAGTTGTGAAGAATTTCGTAACAAGTGAGCTACGATGTCAAATCGTTGACTAACAAATTGTGTTAGGAAAACATACTGTGAAAAATTATTTCTGTACTCAAGATTATTATTCTCTTTATATATTTAATGAATGTAAGCGTTTATTATTTTACGTTTTTAATAAAATATTATTGTATACTTTAATAAATAAACAATTTAGTACTGATTTTTTATGTAATCCAATATCTTGCGATGTACAATTTTAATATATTTTATTTATGATTGGAAACATTTTCTTTTACTTCTTTTTTCTTATTGAAATTTATTTTACTGTTAACAAATATTTGTTTTTATTTCTATTTGGAATTGTTTTCCAATAGGTGGAATTTCGATGATTTCTAGTTATCAGAAAATAAAAACCATTATTTATGAACAGAATGACAGATTCTAGTTTTTGATCGCGAAGGACTAATCTTAGCAAAACCGTATAAATGATAGTAAATTTAATAATTAAATAGGCAAAGGAGACCGTTTGTTTCTTATTGAAAGCAATTCTGTATTTCCTACACAAAACGTTCCATAGCAAACTTGGTTATTGATCAGCCAGATCTCTCTTTCGAAATTGCTCATCATCTATGACTTAGTGCTAGTTAACATTTGTCCAAGTTCTATTGTTTGCAAGCAAGGTGAGACAAAAACGTGAAATCCATACCAAGAAAACTATCCCGGCTATAACGAAAGACAACAACGATGGCAGTTTACTGCTGAGACCAGCGGTTTACTGAGACCTGTAAGCAGATAACATGAAAGAATAAACAAGACTATTATATGGGACGTAGGTGGGTAGTGGTTGGGGGTTTAAATGTTACAGCTTTTGGTATTACAAGTTCCATCGCTTCGACGTGGTCAGTTTCAAATACTAACAAAATGACTAAAATAAAAAGCTTGTTACGGCAATTGAAAAATGAGTAAAGATAGGATAAGGATACCTTCTAAATAATATTGACAATTTTTTGTGGGTACAACAAACATAATAAACCCTTAACAAATATTTATTTAGAATTTTCAACAATGGCGTAAATTTGCAATTGGTTCGAAATACATATATAATTTTCAAATAATAAATAGCTAAAATCAAGCTATTGTATTATTTATAAATAATACATTTATAAAAATTTAAGTATCAATAAAACAAATGGAGTCCCCTTTTTCGATTTTGTTATTCACGAATCTTATGTATAAAGAGATAATAAAAAAAACATATGCATACACAAATACAGTGAGTGTCGATAAAAGTCGTACAAATTTAAAAGAGTGTATAATATGGAATTTACACTAGCCTCATGTGGCTCGTTTCAAATGATTCATTTGAAAGTGTTTACATACGTTGTAATTCATTTGTTCTCATTACAAACAGTAGATTTTTCAACTTGCCTGTTGATTTGATTTCTGTCCTGTGCCAAAAAAATGTTGGATAGAGGTTAAATATACCTTCAAACCTTACAATATAAACTGAAAACTTATTTTTAGATTCGCTTTATTTATTTTTGGGGAGTAGAAGTTCCAAAAAGAGGTGCGTCGTTTTCAAGGAAATGCAACCACTAAACATTTGTTTACATTTTTTTGTAAATACGTCAAACACAATTTTCTCAAACTGTCAAATGCCATGAAAAGCTTTTATTTAGGATATGTTTAATGTATTTATTTGCATTTGGAACATATATATAACTTATTCTAACCTCGTTGAAACTGATTTATACAGAATGAGATCCAATGGATCTCATTTGCGCTTGAGATTTTGTATGCAAAAATGAGTCATCTTTTTCATTTTTGACCAGAATTAATCATTTGAGCTCAGTGTATATGCCATATAAATCTTTATAAGTATATCTTTATAAGTCTTAATTGTAAGCCTTACGACTGCCGTTGGTACTCAGTGTAGTACAAAGCTACAATTTTTGCACAAATCAAACTTCATTTTTTTATATTTAATAAAAATTTAAAATGATAATAAATTTCTAGGAAATGATCTATTTCATAGGAAATTCAATATATAAATGTACCGTAGCTGTTCAATAATTAACATGGTTTACTTTAATTAAACTAATATTTAATTTTATATTTATATTATATTAAGCCATTCTGCCTTATTAAAAGCGTTGGCAATATGTTCAATAATGAACATGTTATTTTAGGACATACAATCCTAAAACTATTAAAATTAAAATTGTATCTATTTTGAACGCTGGCAGGATGTGCCTAAATTTAAATTTATTTATTTATGTCTGTTATCATTTAAATTCTTAGAAGGAAATACGGATGAAAAAATACCCTAAAATAGCATTGTAAAAACATACAGTTTAAATATCTTATGAAACACATGGCACCGTATCTAATTAAGATAATAAAAATGTATTTAAACACAATAAAAGAAAATCCTTGTGCCTGGATTTTCTTCTGAGAAAAAATAATATCTCTTTGTTTTGAACCTTTGCGACAACAATAGAATGTAAACTAAAAATAAAAAATAATACAGTCCACTATAAAATAAATGATAACAGGCAACCAATTATTTCAACCCTTATTTGTAAGACAATTTTGTATAAATAGAGAATAATTTTTAAAATAAAATTAGTATTAAATTGATACTCTTGGAAAAAACATCCAGTTCTCTTTCATTTCATTTTATTTAATCAGTAGCATTAAATTTTAATTCTCGAACAAGCATAGCTAGTCATGTCGTCAATTTATTACTAAAGTATTATTAGTTTATTATTCCTTCGGATATTATGACTTTATTTATTAGTTTAATTACACCACTCTATAACATACACCTATCTATCTAGAGGCACAAAAGTTTTCTAGACCAGTTAAGGTCATAGCTACGTGTTAAACAGTTGTCTATAATGAACCTATTCCAGATTTGTTCCTAAATTACAGTTTTATAACTTCATTTAAAAGTGTAATTATATCACTCTATATCTCACAGATAGCGGATAACGATCATCCAGCGCGTATTTGCAAGCTATGCCTTCCATAAAATGAAAAAAAAACATGGATTTTGCGCGTTCTCCAACTAAATTTAAAATGCTTGCAAATACGAGCTCAAAATAAATTTTGCTCTTCGACTCGGAGACCTGAATGCTTGCGTTGACTTACCTACGTCATATTTATAATATTATTTATATAAGTACCATTACCAACAACGTTTTACTTACTATGATCACATGTGAATCGTTGGAAATTAATATCATAGAATATGCTAAATAATAAAGACCTGAACAATCCAAATGTCATTTAAATAAAACTCTAAAGAATTTGGCTACGTCATCACTATATGGTTGCGATCTAATCACACAGAACATTGCCAATTGCCATGACCATTAGTAAACACTCAGGAAATAGCAGAATTATGGAGCTCGCGTAATAAATAAAATAGCTTAAAGTGATTTTTGTACAGAAGATCGATAAGACTTCATGCGTTATCGAAGTCATCATCACCTAATATATGTAGGCATTTTAACTATTAGCTCGGAAATGGTAAAATTACCAACAATTCTGATAATGGAATATTGTAATGGTGATATTCTATTACTTAGCAATAAAAGTTGTAGCATATTGCAGGTACCGTGATCATAATATACCTAAAGGTAATCTTTGCCCAGAAGTTCGATAAAACTTCCTGCGTATTTAAAAGTTTGTTAATAGCTCAGGATATAGTATATTCTCCCATGATACATAAAATGCCTTAAAGCTATATTTGTACAGAAGATTCAAAAGACATGATACGTAATCCAAATTATCGTGCTCTATCATCGTAGTAAGTTATTAAATGGCAGTCCTAATTACACCTTCGGTCCATTTGATGCTATGAATTTGCTTCAAATTTTTTATATAGATACTGCCAGTTAAATTTTTACATTTTTAGACATCGTTTTTCGAAGTTCCCACATCTGGATTCGACTTTAAATACCAAGCATATTTTTTTAAAATAAAACAAATACTACGAAATATTTTTTTATTCTGGAAATAATTATCATTTTTCAGTTAACAACCGTAAGAAATTCTACATGTGATAACTAAAAATGTATTGAGATAATTTAGACTTCTATTGTAACAGAGTGCTAACGCCTTACTAAACTTAATTTCTTTGCAAATTTATTATTTATACTTTTCAAATGCAAATGAATATATATCCAAGTAATATTTATTGAAACATTTCTTTCAATATATGTACATATATAAATACAATATACAATTAGAAAAAATATAAAAATAAAAAATTTAATGTGTTAGTAAGTGAAGAAAACATGTTTCTTATATTTTTAAATTAAATTAAAAAATTTAATTTCTCACTACGTGTTCTGTTCTTAATGTTATTAACGGAAACGTTTATGTTTATTTGATAACGAATGCAATAGCAATTCATTATATTTTTTGCAAAACAATTGTGAAATTCCTCAATTTAACATACAAAGCTTCATACATATATATTGTATATATACATATATATATATATAAATATAATATTATCTACGTATACATATAACTACAAAGGTCAGAAATTGATTAATACTATTATATATTATATGTGAAATAAAATATTATATGATACACAACGCTGTTCCACTTATTTTGTGTAGAAAATTTTATTTATTCCCAATCAACATGAATTTGATCCCAATCCACGACAAAAGGTTGATCGATTGTTTCGATGAGAAGTCCACAATAAAGACAATCTGCCGCAACGATTTCTTCAATTTCCTTCTTAATCTTATCACGCTTAAAACGTTGCTGCTGTGAGTGGTTTCCAGAAGCAATTGATTCTGTTAGTAACGTCTCCAATTGTTGCTTCAACATCGTAAGTTTCCGACTTTGATCTGAAGTCAACATTGGTACGACATGTTTTTCAAGACAATCGCTATGAAATTTGTGGCCACAAGCAAATACGAAGAAGGGTTTAACCATTAAAAATGTTTCGCAAATGGAGCAGTTCTCATGTGCTTCGATGCGTACGCAACGATCGCGTATGTTTTGTAGGTCTTCACACACGCGATCCGCTTGTTTGGTATATTCGTTCATGTCATGCTGAAGTTCTTGTATTTTTGAGTTGTAGTCCTGCAAAGTAAAATTATATCTCGTTTGAATAAATTATAAAAATTATGGAAAGAACTTACTTTTAAAGCATCACATATGGGTTTTTTAAAATCATCAATTTTTTCAAAATCTGAAAAAAATGGTAGCAAGTCTTCAATGTGTAGGAGATCACATTCTTTTAATAGTTCCAGTGCTTTCTCGACATCGTTGGTGCCTTGTATGCAGTGTTGAGCTAAAAAGAAGGTTCTATGCATTATTTTATACTAGAGTATAAAGAGGAGTTGGTTGTTGTTACAAATCGCGGAGGTCTATGGGACAGAAAATATGTATGGATGAATGAAAGCATAAAATATACGGGTTAGGATTGGAACACGGGATAAGAGTGTTAAGAGATATGGAAGACAGAGATGAAACTGTAATTAATTTAAAAAAAACTTAGTTGAAAGTAAACCTTACGGGAGTGGAAACCTAAAGGAAGTAGATCAATATATGAAATAGGCGAGAAATAAAAGTATAGTAAGGTACAAATAGAAATAGCCTGGATTAGGTGAGAAACCTGACTAATGCAATTGAATGAAGCCATATATCAATATATGAAATAGACGAGAGATGAGGGTATAAATAGACGATCAGTGAAAGTCACTTGAATGAGTTGAAGGAACTAGTTTACTACAATAGATCAATATAAAGAATGGAGAAGGTATTGATAGGTTTTTATTGAAACTAGCTTAAATCAAGGAAAAGGATCACGCCCACTTCAATAGAGCTGAGCCATAGACAAATATGGGAAACGTGTAAGATATATTACTGTTTGTACCGTTTATTGAAACAAACTTAGAGTGTGGTAAAGTAATCAGTGTACTTCAGTAGAGCTGAGCCATAGATCAATATGCGGAATGTAGGAGACATAAGAGCGTCGATAGGTGTTTATTGAAACTAGCGTAGATTGAGATGATTTTAATAGAGCCTAGGATATATATATATTCGGAATATATATGTATAAATCATAATATATATGTATGCTAATTGTAACTAGACTGTCACAGCTTGTCAATAGGATGGAGAGAACTTAAAATATAGCGACAGTTGAATAGAGAGACAACGTCATGAAGATGACAATTGTAGTTGGGGCATACATTGAAAATATATGGTATAAGAGTATTAATTATATTACCTATATTTAGCCACAGGTCGTGTCGCATTTCGTCATCTTTTGGTTTTGAAGCAGTCTCTTTAGCTAATTTGAGATCAAATGTTAGCGCTAACTCCACAGCAGCTGGCCACATGCCCACTAAGCATTTTAGAAAAACTGAAGCTTCTTTTGCATCATAATTGGAACAAGTCAAGAGAGCATAGTTGACGTCATAGTGTACTAGACTAATATCGGTGCCCTCATTTTTTAAATAAGAAATTAATTTTGCAGGTTTATGCTCACTATATAAACGCAGTAAATAGTTATGTATAGCATCATCTTCTTCACCCAGATTATATATTGCGTGTTCAATGTATTTAATAATTTCCTCAATGTGTTGTGGTGTCTTTATTACTGCGAGTGTGGTAATTAATTCTTTTGCATCCAGTTTCCGACCTTGCGCTATTAATAAGTCCACTGTTTCACGTGGTAAATGATCAATAAGTAATGGACAAAATTTGTAATAGAGCACAGAGTTTTTTTGTTTGCTCAATGAGGCAAGCGCATCCTTATATTGCTCTGACAATATTTGCTGCTTTATTACTTCCTCATAGTCACCATTGGAAATAGCAAATTTTATTAAATTATGCGTATCGGCATGTTCATTGATTAGTTTTTGTATGGCAACGTTGTTTTCACGCATTGCAGCGGCTATGCGTTCATCAGCCACAAATTCATCGAATTCACGTTGCCATTGAGCGCGTTCACTGCTTGCACGTCCCGGGTAATTAATTTGTGTTAAATAAAGATCGGTTAACCATATTACCAATAAAATAACATGATCCGGACTTTCCATTATCTTCTCTAAACGTTTCTTCACATATAGAATTATTGGGTGCTTATCTTCCAATTCCATGAACTTAAGACATATACCCTCAAACGGATTACTAGTTTCTGCATAGATATTAGCAGCGGCCGTGTAATCTTTAGCATTGTAGGCTGAGTCAGCTTTCTTTGTTAATACAATATCCAAGTTATCACTATTATCAGCAGCATAGCGTTCTGCCATTTCATAATTCTCTTTATCAAGATATATTTTCCAAATGTTGCGCTCTTCATCTGTGATTCTAAAATCATATACCGCTTTATCTGTATATATGTAAAGAGTACCCGAAAACGGATCGCGTAATACATTTAACAGCTTGCCAGTATTTTCGTGAAAATATTCTTCATACACCACTTCTTGGTTAAGCAAACATATACCAGTAATGTGATCGGGATATAGTAGTAGTGCATGATGTTCGGTGAGTACAAACGATATAGGTACACATTGACGCCTCTGTTCATATGACAAATGCTGACGCTCTACGAAATCTAATTTAATAATGTCATCACCGAGTAATACATCAGCGCTATTAGTATCTGCGGAAACCTTTAACAATATATGGGAATGTGATACAAACTTAAAACTGTTGATTGATATCATTGACTAACCTCGCCAATACGAATTCCTGCACCGCAGAGCCAACCCCAATTTTTAATATACCGCTCATTCGCTGGCGCAAAATAACGAAAAACGGAGTACGTTAAGTCAGTCTTTACCTCGATGGTACCATGTACTTGTGTGCCATTCACATAAGTTGTAAATATTGGCTGTAGTGATTTTTCATCTGGCCTTAACACTTCTTGGAATGTATATATACAATCGGGGGTAGCAGCAACGACAATGTATTTATTGCTATTGGCCATACGTAACAACTCCAGACTGGTTATAGGATACCAAGCACGACCAAGTCCTAAATCGTATACCTGAAGGGGTAAATATTAACTCGTTTTAATGTTCATTTAATGATTAAGATACTATATTCAATATTAATAACTATGTACACTTATTAATTAAATTTATGCAAACAAAACAAATAAATAATTAATTTGTTATAAACTAAATTATATATACAAAATTTAGTGCCAAATGAGATGAGACGACTTGTTCCAGAAGCGAAACTTAGGAGTAATATAAAGCCTTCTACTTTTAAGTAAGCAAATTAAAAATATTTATATACTAAAATATTTATACCAATCCATCGATATGCCTAGATCCATATAAAGGTAAATATGATGGAAACTATTAAAATATATGATATGTTGAGATGAATGATGTTAATAAAGTACATTAAGTTGAGATAAAAAAAAAATAGTTCTACATTAAATTCATTGTATTTTTTACCTGCTTTCTATATAAAGGCTTTTCAGTTTCTTGGTTCAATTCCGTTTCAAATATCAAACCACGACTAGTGCCCAAAAGTATAGCTGCAGTTGCATTCTCAGTGCCCGCATAGTTATTGAAGGCAACGGCTGTAATCTCATGATCCTTAAACTTTTCAATACGTCTAACCTTCGCAGTGTTTCCGTGCACGTATAGGAAGTCAGCACAAAGACCAGGGGATTTTGGTATTAAACTTATAATTATGTGATGACCGGTGAAGTCCATAAATAGCTTAGAAATTTTATAACCGGCAAGATACTTTTCCAAAGATATTTCTATAAATAGACAAATTATAGTAATTAATTGACGTTTGGCATATTGGAATAGGATGATTAAAATAAACCCATATAGGTTTAGGTGAAAGAATCTGGTTATTTCAATAGAGCGTAGTTATAAAACAATTGGACTTAAAATTTGACGTCCAATTGCTTGTCACTTAGGCTGTTCTTTCTTAGCATGGGAAGCCTGTTAAATTCGCCTACCTCGTAAACGATGCTATTTCAGCAGGAGTTATTAAAATATTTATTTGCTTTTTTTTTGACATATTATACTATAATCTTAAATAATGTTAACCTCACCTGAAGGTGGCAAGACACGTTTTAAGAATACACGGACCAATGTTACTTGTTTTGCTGTTGTTAAAATGCCTGCGAACCAATTTCTTGATATAGCCAAGTGCATAATATCACCTCGAGATGTTTCTGGAATGCGGACTTGCAATCTGTGTCTGCTGAAAATGGGCGTTTCATTTGGATCTTTTGTAGTTAAAAATTTTGGATCAATATCCGGCAAAAACTTTGGCTGTGCCGGTATGTCGTCGGGTTCAGCTGTATCGTGTGTTGACATATTGTTTGCTTAATTTTTACTGGCACCAAAATATTCCAAATAATATTTATTAATAATTTGTTATTGATTCTAGTTCACTATCAACAATTTTTTTCACAATCAACAATGAATGAGTGAGTTTTTTAAAATCAGCTGATATACAGGGCGGCATCAACATTAATATTTTATGAATATTTACGATATCGTAAATAATTGTAAATAAAACGTAGAACGTAAGAATTTATAAATTCTTTGATATATACTATAATACAACATATATATAATATATGTTATATAATAGATATATATAATATATAAAATAATATATATATATATAATATAATAAACAATAAATATTTATAATATACATAATTTATAAAATTAAAATTATTAATTATTCTTTATCGAAAAACTGTTAAAAATAATGGCTTTGAAAAATACTACAATAATATATTATAAAATATTAAAATTAATATCAATTTTTAATTTTTTAATGACTATTAAAAATAGCACGTATAAATAGATAATTTCAGTTAAGTAAATATATTTAATATTTAATTCAAAAATTGTTTATAATAAAATAAATTTTTTTCATAACAATATCGTACTTTACATCGATATCACATACGGTAAAGGAAAAATATTAAATATTTAATTCAAACATTTTCTATTAAGAAAAGAAATTTTGTTTTATGACAATATCGTACCCTATATCACAAACATATAGCGATATGTGCTGTAAAAAATCAGCTAACTCAAACTACCTTATGGAAAGCAATGTTTTCAATCATATGTGCATACATCAGTTGACATAAACATTAAGTAATTGCATTGTATTTCTTTGTGTGTGAAGTATTTGGTAATCAAATTTGCATATACTTTGTTATAATTTATGACTTTTTCTGTGTTCTGTTGTTTTTATTCTCATACTTGCTACGTCTTTGACATCTAATTCAGCTTTAAGTGTGAAATATTACAATATCGTATACTATGCAGTAACCATATGATACATCGCAATATTATACAGTATCATATACTCTACGATTGCGATTTGTTGCCCAATTGAACTCTTTAAAGTAATCTAACATTTTTTAGTAGGTTGGTAGATATTTATATTTTTCAAAAATACATTATTGAATCAAATCATACTTTATTTGTAAAGCCATATAAAACAGCTGTTAATTTCAGCGTAATCTTGCTACTCTGGTGAAATGTCGAAAGTGTTGTAAGTAAATCTCGAGTGTTATACATGTCGCTCGAGATTTACCAATCGAAAATGAAAACTGTACTTAAATTAAATCTTGGGTGAAAAAGTTACTCTAGATTTGCCGTAAATTTCGGGTAAAAAAGTTACTCTAGATCTGTGAATCGAAAACGATTTTATACGTATAATTTGCAACAATATTAATTTAAAAATCGTGTGTTGGTATGCTTGATGCTTAAAATAGTGGAGTGAATATATGAATAAAAACATGTAAAAAAATATGAAATAAAAATTTTTTGAAATATGAACAATAATTTATATTTATAAATATATTAAAATATATAATATATACATAAAAATTAGATATATAAAATATATAATAATTTTATTATATTTCAATGATAAATGTTTCGTAAAACATTTTCAATGTTAAAAAAATTTTTATAAATATATTTATTGTTTTTAAGCTTGTAATTTTAATTTTAAAATAAGTTCTGCACAAAAAACTATTTTTCTGCTTAGTCAGTATTATATATTTTTAGCAAAAGTGAAACACGGTCCGATGTATTTTTAACATGTTCTTTACTTCGCTTTATTAACTATACTAAAAATGAATAATGAATAATAATTACAAAAGGAATATAGAATAATGACAGGCCAGAGTTGCCAGGCAATTAATATTTAAAAAAGTACTTTACATAACAACACCCCCTCTTAAAGTGCTTTTATTATGTGTAAAATATGACTTTAATATTTCATTCCTAATTTCCGTAAGCAATTAACATGCTTTTCTGTAGTGAGTCCTTTGGTAAGGACGTCTGCGGGCATTTCTTCTGTTGGCATATATTTGATTTTAACAGTGCCGTCGTTAACCTTGCTGCGAATAAAGTGATAACGAATATCAATGTGCTTTGTCCGTGGATGATACCTGAAGCTTTCCGTTAATTTTTGAGCGCTTTGATTATCATTAAAGATTTCAATTGTTTTACTTGTAATGCCAACATCATCAAGGATTGCCTTTAGATATAACGCTTCTTTTGTGGCCTCAGATATGGCCATATATTCTGATTCAGTGCTTGAAAGCGCTACTGTACGTTGCTTTCGAGCTTCCCAACATATCGCTGCTCCTGATATAATGAACGCATACCCTGAATATGAACGTCTATCGTTTAAGTCAGCGCCCCAATCAGCGTCAACCAGACCATACAATTCTTCATTGTTTTTCTCATACAATAGACCATAGTTGCTTGTACCTTTAAGGTATCTTAGAATTCGTTTTGCTGCTTTCCAATGTTCCACGTTATAATTTGAATTGAACTGGCTAAGAAAGTTTACAGCAAACGCAATATTCAGGTCGAGTTGTAACAGCTAAGTACATTAATGCTCCTATCAAGCTTTGATAGGGATACATCTTCATAACACCTTCATCAATTTTTGTTGGTTTCGTTAACTTAATGTTCAATTCTATGGGAGTCTTCACTGGTTTACAGTCTTTCATATTGAACTTTTCAATAATGCTTTTTGCATACTTCTCTTGTGAAAGAAAAACTTGATGCTTGCTTAAATTTTGATGAAACTCGATGCCAAGACAATTACTTACTATTCCCAAATCCATCATTTCGAAATCATTCGCAAGTGCAGCCTTTATTTCTTTTATACGAAACTTATTATTGGACGCTATTAGTAAATCATCTACATATATTGTCATCAAAACAATGTCGTTGCCTTCTCGCTTAGTGAATACACAAGGATCCTGTTGTACTGCACTTAGACCCATATTCTGTAGTTTCTTTGTCAATTTCATGTACCATGATAGCCCAGACTGACGAAGTCCATAAAGAGCTTTCTTTAATAAACATACAGGTGACTTACTTGATTTAATCGCCTTTAACCAATGCTGCGCTGTTTCTTTAACTTTTCCACACAATATTGTTGAAGTTTTTCCCACTGGTTTTGATGAAACAACTTTGTTCAGGAATGGTATAAGATAATCGGGAATTTCCATGAAGACACTCTCTTCGAGCTCTCCATTTAGATATGCTGTAATGACATCCATCTGATGGATCTCCAAATCCATTTTTGCTGCCAGTGCCGCAAGTAGTCTTATAGATGTTGAACGAGCGACTGGAGAAAACGTATCATGAAAGTCTTCACCTGGTCGTTGTGCAAAACCCTTCGCTACTAATCGTACTTTCTGTTTTCCGTCATCTTTAGTTCGAAGCACGAATCTATTCCCAATAACTTTTCGTGATTTCGGTCTTTCGACCACTTCCCATGTTTTATTCTTTAGTTGTGCCACTATTTCGTCTTCTAGCGCTTTTGACCAGGAATTTGTTTCATCGCTTTCAAGTGCCTCCAAAATCGTTACTGGAGTTTGATATGTAGTGAGAAACGCCATTTCACAATCTTCAAAAACGTTGTTGTCAGGTTCATCATCTGAATGGTTTTTATCAGCAATTTTTCTTACTGAACTTGTATTTTCGTCTTCGTTGGATGATTCTTCACCATTCCGATTTGACGTGTAATATTCTTTTCGAGGCCTACCGCGTGAATTTGTGCGAATAAGTCTCGGACGACCTCTCCTACGAATGGAGTTTTCTTCTCGCGTATCTGTATTTTCTACAATTTTCGGATTGACCGACAGTTTCTGATTTTCACAATTTTCGAACGCAATATCGATATAATCATTTGTTTGGCAGTCGTTTTCATTGTTAATATAAATGTTTTCGTATTTATTATGATAGATATTTTTGTTTACGAACACGACATCACGGCTTATTGTTATATTTCGTTTTGTAGGTGACCACAGCCGATAGGCTTTCGCTTCGTTTGAATATCCAACAAACATGTAAGGTTCTGACTTAGAATCGAATTTATCTCTAGTCTTATCCTTTTTTAGGACATATGCTTTAGAGCCAAATACTTGAAAATGTACAATAGTTGGCATTTTACCAGTCCACAACTTGTGCGGTACTACACCGTTCAATGCTTTTGTAGGACACCTTTTCCGAATATAGCACGCTGTATTTATGGCCTCTGCCCAAAAATTTGGCGGAACTTCAGCTTGTTTCATCATGCAACGGGCCATTTCAACTAGAGTTCTGTTTTTACGTTCAGCAATACCATTTTGCTCCGGCGTATATGGAGCAGTTAAGCGTCTTTGTATACCAAATTTCCTCAAGAATAAATTAAATTCAGAATTAACGTATTCTCTACCATTGTCTGATTGTAAAGCCTTAATTCGTTTACCCGTTAATGTTTCTACTGCTCTTTTGTATTGCTTAAATACATTTAATACATCGGATTTTTGTTTTATAAAATATACTTGACAATAGCGTGATTTGTCATCAATAAATGTTACGAAATATTTTGCATCCGAATTTGATGCTGTTCTCATTGGTCCGCACACATCACTATGCACGATCTCTAATAAGTCACTTGTTCTAGTTTCTTTACTCTTAGGAAATGGTTTTTGTATTTGTTTTTCACTAATACAAATTTCGCAAGTCGGAAGTTTTTGTTTAGGATTCAATTTTAATCCGTGTACTAGGTTATTACTAGCCAATTTTTTAAGATCGTTTTCATTTATGTGGCCCATTTTCTGGTGCCACTTTTCAATGTCACATTTTTCTTCAGCAACTTGTGCAAAATGATTTTTATTTTCAACAATAAAAAGATTTCCACATCTTTTCGCTCGAGTTATAACCTTCTGATATTTGTCCAATACGATTGCATCTGAAGGGCGAAAATGCACTTCATATCCGCTGTCTACTATTTTTGATACAGAAAGTAGACTTGTACGCAAGTCCTCGACATATAGAACTTCTTTAAGATCAATGTTATTATCACGACCGTATACGTCTACAGTTATTTTCATTTTACCGACGCCGTT